TATCAGCAGAGGTAAGAGCAGATGCTCTTCAGAACTGGGAGGATCTCAAGCACCGGTTCTCCATGAATAATGAGTCCTCTCACGTGAAGGCTGCGGCGCTAAACTCAACAGCTTCTAAAGGTACATGAGCGGCGAGCTGAGGTGAAGTGGCGCACCAACCTGTGGAGTAGATCGCTACTCGGTCGATGCCTCTGTCCTCCGCCTGGAGCTGCTGCAGGAAGACTCCCACGCTGTCGCTGAGAGGCTTGAGGGTGAACTGACAGCGCTCTCGCCTGGACGGCAAACTGACTGAGATGACCGGCAGCCCGTTCTGATACACCACCGTCACCTCTGAGCGAGGAGGAAAACAAAAACAAAAACATTTAGTTATAGTGTGTAAGTTAAGTTATATGAGCTCAGTAACAGAGGGGTAAGACTAGACAAGTCTTTGACTTCTTCTTACCCCTTTTTTGGACATGTGGATACTCTGGTTTTGTTTTTGTTCTTATTTTTTGTGAGATTGATGTGCTTCTAAGTGAGGCACTTATTTTATTTTATTCTTAACTGTTGTTTTGTGTGGTTTTTTTTATATACATTTTTTTTAACCATGTCCAGAAGTAAATAAATAAAGAAAGAAAGAAAGAAAGAAAGAAAGAAAGAAAGAAGGAAACAGACGAGAGGGAAACAGAGAGGTTAGCGTCAGACGAGATGGAATATAACCAGAGTACCTGCATGTTTTTTTATGTTTCTCAAAACCTTCAAACTTCAACTTCAACAAACTTCACTCCAGAGAGAGTGAAACCATCGATCGGACTGTAAACATGCTTATTTCTGCCTTTTTGAATGAGTGTGTATGTGGTTTCTGGTGCTCCTGCAGCCAGCCTCTAGTGGACACTTAAGGAACTGCAGTTTGCCTCAAGACCGGATGTTGCCCTTCGATTTATCGCGGCGCTTCTTTCTGTTTGTCGCCACAAGAAGAAGAAGGAGAAGCTGAAGGTGAGCTCGCTGTAGCATCGCTCTGAGATGATTCGACACTTTCCTGTTTTTCATTTAGTTCAGTGTTTAACAATCTGCTGGTTGATGCTTGTTTTTCAAAATAAAAGCATGAAAAATGTTTTATGCTGTTCAGTGAGTTATTCCCAAATTTCCACGTAGTTAGATTTCCTCCTCTCGAAGGACACAATCTACTGCTTATATGTCTATGTGTCTGTTTTTATAGCGACAACTCATTATCACGCGTTTGAACATGAACCGCGGGTTTTGTTTTGGAGTTCTCACGATTCCTGCTGTCCGTAAATCGCCACAAAATTTTCCTCAAAAAACGCCTGTTCGTTCCGGATCGAGGCCGTTCGAGATGCAGTGAAAACTGGGGGTAACTGAATATGAAGTTGTGTGTTCTTGGCTTTTCTCAGTTTGACTGGTTGTGTTGTTTTATTCATCAGCTCCACAGAAATGTCCAAAATCTTTAGTTATTATATAATTTCACAGAATTTTGAAATCACAGTAATCTGTTGTGTTTTTTTTTTCAGCTCTCAGACTGACCTGCGCTGACACTGACGTTCACTGACCTGACCTTCAGCTGTCAGACCCTAAAAGTCGATGATTCACCGTGTTCCTGCTAACCTTTAGTCCTGATTGGTCGATGCCTTTCCTGATATTTCTTACTTCCTCGGAGACTCAGCTCCTCCTCCTGAGACGATCAGACTCAGTTCTGACTTTTAGAAACAGGAAAATAAAAACTGTCTGAATGTGAATCTGCAGCAGGACTCAGTGTGAAGTTCAGAGTTGGCTGTGCGCTCTCCTCCGTGAGAATCGTCATTTCTGCTCCTCGCCGCCGTCACGACTAAAGTAACCCGACTCTCCTGGTCTGAAACTAAACTCTGTTTTTAATGAGCCAACATGGTTAATACTGTTATCACGCTGAGAGGCCCCCGATGACACGGCCGTGAATCATGGCGGAGGGCTGCAGGCCCACGGCGGAGGTGATCCGACCCCCCCCACCCACTCCGCTCAGGACCACTGCAGTGAATCAGCAGATCTCTGCTTGGGCTCGCACCCAGAAATCATCGGCTGGCGCTCGCCGCACCGGCCAGGCTCGCTCTCAAGATGTTCCTTCAGTCGGAGGCGCAGACATTCGACTTCACACCGCCCCCGCCATTACTAAAGGATCGGAGCCCGCCTCCTCCTGCAGCTGCTCCCTCTGTGCCCCACAGACACAGCCGTCGAGAGGAGGTCAGTGATCGTCAACGTTCGCTCATTTCTCAGAGTAAAAACGTGGAATAAAAAACAGACTTTTTCACAAACGTGTGCGGTCCAACAGACGGACTAAACTGATCAACTTTCTCTGCAAACGAATCTGGAAACTTCAAAATGATTCTTGTGATAAAGTTTTAAATTTTAATGATATAACTTTGATCAGAAAATCTGGAAAAGATCAAGAGGATCAGAGTGAAAACAGGACTGTGAAGATCTGATCCTGATACTGACTCAGATCAGATATCAGTGACAGACGGACGATCTGTGGGGTATGGATCCCCGCTAAGAGACGTGCACGAGGATCTATAATGTCAGCTCGTCTCAGGATGCGTGACGGCTGCAGGGCGGCTCGGTTTATTTACGACATCGCAGAATCTGCAATGTGACTATCGCGCACACGTACATCGCCATGACAACGCTCAATAAGAGATATCGTGCAGCCCTACAGTGCGCCTGATCCTTCCTCTTCCTCCTCTCTTCCTCTTCCTCCCTCCTCTCTCTTCCTCCCTCCTCTCTCTTCCTTCCTCTTCCTCCTCTTCCTCCCTTCTCTTTCTTATTTTCCTCCTCTTCCTCCCCTCTTTATCTCCTCTCTTCCTCCTCTCTTCCTCCCTCCTCTCTCTTTCTCTTCCTCCCTCCTCTCCTCTTCCTCCCCTCTTTATCTCCCTCTTCTTCCTTCCTCTCTCTTCCTCTCTCCTCTCTCCTCCTCTCTCTTCCTCCTCCTCTCTTCCTCCTCTCTCTTCCTCTTCCTCCCTCACTCTCAGGCTCCCCGGTCCAGGACAGACTCCGTTTTAATGACTCTTGGCTGTTTGCTCTAAATGATCCTCATCTCTCTGATCAATTCTCGGTCCCTCCAGGTGAAGAACTCACTAGTCCGGGACCAGAGTCTGAAGAAAGGGGTTTTCTAGAGGAGAGGGAAACCCCTGATACGCCTCATGGACTCAGCGGAGGGGAGGGGGTGAATGAAGCGAGGGGAGGTGAGGACTTACCCTCTGGAGCGGCGGAGGTACACAACAGTCTCTGGCCGTGCCATGAGGGGGCGCCCCTCCAAACCTGCAGGAAAAGGAAGAGAGAAAACCAGGTTAGTCCACGTGATTGTTAAGGAGAGCACATCTAGGACTTCTACGTCTGATTTCACACGATTACTCTGATGTACGTTTGTAAAACGGCCTCTCCTGCTCCGGTTTCTAGAAAGGTTTTTCTTCTTTCTAGAAACTGGAGCCACACCCTGAGAGAGAGGGTCACACTGAAGGATGAAAGAGGAAATACTCTACGGTGAGATGACGCAGAAAATCTCAAACACACTCCGAGCATTCATGCCCAAAAAAACATCACAGTGGGAGAGACAGGGAGGAGGCGAGCAAAGGCAGCCTGAATAATAATAACAATGTGGTTCAGTTTCCTTCTCCACGAGAGCGAGGAGGGAGGGAGCGAGGGAGGAGGGAGGAAAGGAGGGAGGGAGGGAGGAGGAAGGAGCAGCAGAGCTCGGGGAAACCCTCGTTTTTTTCCCTCCTCTGTTGCTACAGTACACCGTTACCCCGGCAAAGTAGGAGTGTCCTTATGCGCCGCATTACAGCGCCCGTCACGTTTTCCGCCACCGAGCCTTAAAAGGCAGCAGACAGGCTGTCAGATCTCCTCACATTTACACGGCGAGGACGAGACGCCGCAAATCAGGCGAGAAAGAGAGCCCAGGGTGAAGAGAGAGTCAGATAGAAGTTTGAGTTGTGCTCTCTGCGACTCATCATCATCATCATCATCATCATCATTTTTAATAAGAGCTGCAAACAGTCAGGGAGTTTGTGGTAATGTGGAGGTTATTAAAGCCGCCGGAAATTTTGATTAAAACAGAGAAAAATGCAAATACCAGAGCCGAACTGGGAGTCTCATTATGTGTCCTCAGAGTCTGAATAAATATTCATCCATGTATGTGAAAGAAAACCTCGCTCAGGAACGAAGACGTCTCCGAAAACCGTCTGATCGCCGTGTGATTGACAGCAGCTCTTCTTCTGCACAACGACACTCGGAGGAGGTTTCCGATTTTTTAACCAGAGGAAGGAGGAGGAAACGTCTTCAAATATTCATTTAATTTAGTCTCTGAATGGAGGTTACATAAGAGAGAGAGAGAGAGAGAGAGAGAGAGAGAGAGAGAGAGAGAGAGAGAGAGAGAGAGAGAGACAGAGAGAGAGAGAGAGAGGGAGAGAGAGAGAGAGAGAGAGGTAGGTGCCCCATGTCTGTCCTCAGAGCGGTGGTTCAGAGTTTAAAGCTCCTTTCAGGTGAATTAGAAAATAAAAATTGAAGTTTTCATGAAAATCTCCAAAAGTAAACAAACTCATCAGAACCAGGATGAGGTTTGGGGTTCTGGACCCTGAAAATCAGAACCTCCTCATCATCCTGAACGCTGTCACCTTCAGAGGAGACGGACCAGCTGACTGGGTTGATTAATGTCGTTATCAGATAATTAATAATAATAATAATAATAATAATAATGCATCAGATTTCATAAAGCCCTTGATCAGAGACCCTCAAAGCTCTTACCATTGGATCCATCATTCATTCATTCATTCATTCATTCATTCATTCACTCATTCACTCACACAGTCACACCCTGGTGGTGGTAAACTACCTCAACAGTCACAGCTGTTCTTGGACAGACTGACGGAAACATGGCGGCCTCTCCGACCACCACCACACAACACTCACAATCACACACCAGTGGAGGACACACACTGGGAGCAAAGTGGGTTAAGTGTCCTGATCAACCGACAGACTCAGGATAGGAGGGAATCGAGCCGATAACCTTCAGTTATTGGACGACCGCTCTACCTCCCGCCCAATTATTATAATTCACTCCGTCATGATTGTTACGATTGTTATGTCAGGATGGGAACACATGCAGTAAACTGGGAAGCTGTCGGACTCACAAAGCGAGTGGATTTTACAGGAAGTCAGGATGTCGTACATCTTTAACTTCAGAGCTGCAGGAAAAAACAGTATTGAGTTGTTTTTGTTTCAGACGCCGACAGAGGAACCGCTCAGCTTAAAGAGAAATTATTCAGTCGGTTCAGACTAGTCGGAACAAGATTTTGGTACCATGATCCCTTCGCTGATGTCACTCAGTACATTTCCATGACACTCGAGAAAACCGAACAACCGGACAACTGAAGGTCATGTAAACACCTTAGTCCGACTGTAATCGGAGTTTGAGAACTCTGATTCAGACACCCAGATAATGAGATTGGAATTCCATTTTCTCTACCGTGTAACCAGCGTAGTTGGAGTATAACGATGTGGCCAAAAGCTCTTCTAAGCTCTCCAGAACCCTCCTCCACTGTTGCCATGGAACAAACTCATGTTTATTGTTTAAAAAGAGTCGTGTAGAGAGTAAAGAAAAGTAACCTGATTTAGAAAAATCGGCTCGGTCTAAGAAATTGTGATTTAACCCTCACCCTGCTTTTATTCTGTAGATGTTTTTCACAGCCCTGACTCTGGATGAGTGAGACGTTTCATCGTTAAAATAATTAAAAGTTCTTCTGCGTTTAAAAGACGATATCAACAAGGAGGAAACAGGTACTTCTGCTTTACCCTCCGTCCTACAGAGCAGGATTAGGAGTTTCAGTTTGGAGCTCTTCTTCGTTTCACTCAGCATCCAGCAGGATTTGATTCTGCAGACTCGGTGTAATATCAGATTTACGACTATGAGAGAAATCTCTGACCTCGCAGATCTGAACCACGTCTCACATCCTCTCTTTTATGGTCTTACTCTGACGTTTTGAAGGAAGGAGATACTGAGCTGAGAGTCTGAGTCCTTCTGGATCTGGACCAGACCGACGGTCCACTTCACAGAGCGGAGATGGAGGTAAAGACGAAAAAAAACGAAGATTAGATCATCGCTCAGAAAAACAACACAGAGAGAGAAACTCAGGATATGATCATAAACTCAGCGCTGAGACCCCGGAGACCTCGGGGGGACATGAATCTGGTTTAGCGGCTCTGAACCGGATTGTTCCTGTAGTTTTATAACTTTATTCACAAACTTTAACAGGATGAAGTTTCAGGAAGTTTTACAGTAGCGGACTGCTCTGAACCTGCAGGCCACAACAAACACCCCCAAACTGGACGTATGATTTTTTCTCAGAGAGGACCGGACCAGCAGCAGCATCGATCAGACAAACACAGCCGCCAATCAAACGCTCCTGACTAAATGTCCCGGCTGCCAATCAGAGGAGCCGTCTGCCAATCACAGCTCTGCTCTCGTCTGAATCAGCTTCCTGCTGCTGCATGAACGAGCCGAGAGGATGTGGACGGGATAAATGTTGAGATTTACACCGAGGATGACAGCTCCCCACCGCTCCACGCCTCTCTGAGCTTCGTTAGGATTGACGTTAATTAGTGATGAGCTGCTAAACGGAGTGTTGTCAGCTGGATCTTCACACTGTCTCTGTTTTCCTGCAGATATCTGGTCCTCAGGCACTTATAGAGGCCGAGTGAGGATCCACAGATGGAGGCTGATGTTGTGTTCTTGTTCGGTTCCCGAGGGAACGAGAGACCTCATGAAACCCCGACTCAGCTTTTATATTTATAAGAAAAAAGAGACGAAGAAGAAGAGGACTGAACTCGCTACAGACGATCAGCTGATCCTCAAGATCATCTCCTGATTTAACCGAAGTATGAAGGTCTTTGCTGCTGCTCTGCCTGCAGAAACTCGGGTTAAAGGTTACCCCCAATTTTCACCAGAACAGCGATGGATCCACCAATTCCTACCGGATCCTTTCGTGAGGCGAATTTCACGGCGGATTATGGACAGTAGGAACTCACAAGAAACCGCAGATTCACGTTCAATCGCACGATAACGAGTTGTCTCTATAAAGACAGACACATAGACATATAAGCAGTAGATTGTGTCCTTCCAGAGGAGGAAATCTACTTCTAGACTTCTAGAATCAGCATCTCCTCATCCATGGTGTCATCGGGGTGAAATGACGTCTAAAAACCTTTCACTTGTTCGTCTGTTTGTGTTTTATTTTGAAAAGAAGCCGGATGTTTTATTTTGTGTCTGTGCCCGACTTCCTTTCCAGCACGGGTTAATCTGTGCTGAATTTATCCGCCATGCTCCGGCGTCCAGAAAAAATAGAACTCTTGTGATCAGCTGAGGAGTCCGGCGATCCGCAGAGGAACGGAAAGAAGTCGGTGTAAATTGACACGTTAACTTGAATGGTTACGATCAGCTACGATCGGAGGATACGAGCTTTTAGGAGACGATCAGGGTGAAGGTGATAGTTCAGGGTTAGCATGTCCTGGTGGTCTGTCCTGACCCTCAGAGGTGACATACAGAGACATTCATCAGTCCAGGAACTCTCTCACTGATCGTCTGTCCTGTAGAAATCTCTGGACCTTGTCGTCTGTGTTGTTCGCCGTAGCTCTTGTGTTTCTCCTCCCTCATGGAAACCTTCACGGCTGCAGCCTCTGGGTAATCCTCCCTGCCTGGAGCGACACCTTGAGCTGGTTGGTTTTCACTGAAACCCTCTTTAAAGTAAAAACAGCTCTCTGCTCGCTGAATGTAATGAGTCCACATGTCATTTATTTCGGCCTGATAGGAAATCGAACCCGAAGCGTGCACGCCTGAGTCTGAGCTTCCTCTCAATTACAGGTTACTCCATTATGTAACACCGCTCACATGGAGGTTTAAGGCGCCTCCACCTTCAGAGCGTCAGGACCGACTCCGCTGACCGAGGCCGACGTGCCGACTCGCTGAAATGTGAGTCCGTGTGTCGGAATGAAACACGGATTGTTGTTTCGTGGTTCTGAGAGGAACCCAAACAACCACGAGTCGTCTGATCAGGTGACACGCTGAGGAGGCGTCATGGCTGCACAGGCCCGGTGTCTCATCAAAGACGTCACTGAGATGAAACACCAGCAGCACCGACCCACGCCGCATCACAGACGTATGCAAATATGGCGCCGGTGTGAGTGCGGATCCATCTGTGGAGTGACGTGAACGTGTGAATGTACCTTTGCAGGTGGCAAGTGCGCACACGTGTCTCCGTCCGCCCATCTGTCGGCCAGTCTGTCAGCGACCCCCCCATACTCCCCCCTTTTTCTCCTCCCCCTGCCGCCGCCGCCACTGAAACACCGCCTGAAATATTTAACAGTGAAGCAGCAGTCAATAGCACAGCAACCTTGGAATCAATGTCATACGGCTAAGAGGGGGAGAGCGAGGAGGACGAGGGTGGAAGGAAGGAGGGACGGACGGATGAGCTCGCGGAGAGAAAGAGATGTGAGGAGGAGAAAGAAAGGAGGATAAATGGAGGAGCAGCAGGGGAGCGATGGAGATAAATGAAGGCTGGAGTAAGAGCGTGCGAGTCACGAGTGCGCTCGCATTTCTAACCATGTGCTGCGTATACTGTACCCTGCAGCAGACGGAAACGTGACGGCAGCGTGAGAGAGAGCGCCGTGGCGAGGAAGAGGGAGAGAGTGAGAAAAAGGGAGGGAGAGATGGAGGAGGAGGAGGGGGGAGTGCTGATCACTGCAGTAAAGGAATCCCTCGTCTAGAAAGGAGGGTTACCCCTGCCTCCCCCCCCCCGTCTCACTGACTCTGAATCCTGATGAGCTGCTTTTTGATCTCCGCTCAAATCTCATCTGCACTGCGCTTTAACTTCCGCTGCATTTCATCGACCCTCCTGTGAACGTTTTCCTTCAATGAAAATAAAAACACCCGTCCCCTCAGAGCGCCCCCTCCCTCCCTCCCTGCAGCGAGCGCCGACCCCCGAAGATGAAGCAGTATATGAAATAAATCTAATACACTCAGGGAAATATATGAAGCTCCTGAGCTGCAGCTGAGGCGCTGCGCCTCCATCCCTGCTCTCACATAATGTAATAAGACTAAGCAGAGGTCTGATATTGATCCGCAGTGAAGATTAATCATCTTTAACAGTTTGAGAAAGTCAGAGGATCACAAAGATCTGCCGGGTTTCAGAAGACAAAGAGAAAAAGTCTGATCTGAAGTGTTCGAACCTGCAGCAGGAATCGACTCACAACCTCTCAGAGTCGAACTGCTGCAGCTCCAACATCGATCTCTCCTCCATGAGCAGCTCAGCTGACGACACAAAGGCATGGAGATCTTAGTGCAGTGTTAGTGAACGTATGAGGAGGAACCTGCCGGGTTAGTGCAGCTCCTCCTCCTCCTCCTGCTCCTCCTCCTCCTCCTCCTCCTGCTGCACAGATTCATTTACTGTAATTAGAAGTGAGCCGCTCTAATGATGGTCATAAAAACTGAATTTAGCCTGAAAATAAATAAAAGACAAACTGGGTCATTTTCAGCCTGACGTCTCATTTCTCTCAGACTGAACAAACATGTTTGAAAACGGTGAATCTGCAGCTCTGAACTCAAGTAACCTTTACCAACACCGCTGTGACCTGCTCCACCTGGAATTAATCTACTAACCAGCTAACCAGCTAACTCACTAACTTACTAACTCAATGACTGACTGACTCTTGCACAGCTGACTAATAACTAACCGACTACCTGAGTGATCGACAAGCAACTGACTGACTAACGACATGACCGAGACACTAACTAACTAAATGACTAACTAACTGATTTAAGTGCTGACTAACAAACTTCATCACTAACTATTCAGCTGCATAAATAACTAAGTAACTAAAATGCTAACTATCTAACTAACTAAATAACTGATTTAGTAACATTCTCACCAACCACTTCACTGTTAAACTGAATAACTAACTCACTCATTTACTATTTACCTAACTTATACTAACAAACAAACTGACTAACTGATTTAGTAAATAACTTCCTAGGTGCTAACAAACCAAATCACAACTATTCAATTAAAAAAATAACCAACTAAGTAACAAAATCATTATTTAACAATCTAACTAAATAACTAATTTAGCGACATTCTTACCGACCACTTCACTGTTAAACTGAGTAACTAACCAACCAATTAACTCTCTTACCAACCGGCTAACTGATGACCAAAATAACTCATCGATTGACCAACTAACTTATTAACTAACTAAGTAAATGGAAAACCTATATTATGAACAAACCAACAGCTTATGTATAAACTAACTAACTTGCTCACTAACTATGTAACTAACTTACTTATACTAACTGACAGATTGACATACCAGTCAACTATTAAACTAACCGACTCTTTGACCGACTAACCACTCTACAAACTTACTAACACTCACCATCATATACTCGCTCACTAACTTAGTATTTAATCGACTTGCTAACTTAGTTACTAGCTAACTTAGTTTATTCTTACTATTATTATCTGGATTATCTTTGTCGTTGCTGACTAAGTTAACTGTTTAACTCTAACCCGGGGATTCCACAGGATCTGAAACGGCTCCACTTCACTCCGGACTGGCAGGTGGATCAAATACGGATCCTGTGGGTTTTAGCCGTAATTTTGACCTCGCCGTGTCAAACGTCGTTCATTTCAGTTATTTGTGGTAAAGATCAAAGTTGGTGATCTAGTAAGTTAGTTGTCATTATAATACTTCACTTATTGATCTGTTATTTTCTGTGTCCATTACTTTGACTGACTGTAGATTCATTCATTCATTCATTCATGTATTCATCATAACCTCTTTGACTCTCACTCGTTCTTACAGAGTGTTAAAACGCTCCTCTGCAGGATCCACGACTCTGTGTATAAATGTGAGTTTCTTAAGAATTAAATCTATTTTTTCTACACGACTGTGAATCTTCTCTGTAATCCTCGAACTGCAGCCGAGGCCCCCCGGGGTTTTTATTCCGGGCTGCTCATCCACTCATGGTCAGGATTAGAGAAATCTGCGGACTGCTCCTTTAGCTTTGTCGTTGTTAAGGCTGAATCTGAACACACAATGACTCAGCAGTTTGAACACATCTCTTTATCTCCGCACACACACACACACACACACTGCAGCGGAGTTTGGGATGTTCACAATAGTGTGTGTGTGTGTGTGTGTGTGTGTGTGTGTGTGTAACAGACACCAGTGCTGAAGAATGATGTCGTTGACATAACTCCCGTCTCATGGCGCCCTTCGGGGGGAGTGGGAACCTCTGCCATTTATCTCCACAATGACTGCATCCATCTATGTGTTAATGTGCTGTCCTGAATGGCTGCTGCGGACCAGATAACCCGGGTGGTCACACACCGAGTCTCTGCTGGAGTCCGTCATAGATACACACACTCGTACACGGCTCCCCCACGGTCACAGAGTGTACACTATCCTCTCAGTGAAAACACTAACGCACACACGCATCCATATTTTCTTTTCATGTTGTTCCTGCGTTTAAGACAGGCTTCAGATGTGAATTCAGAGTCTCTTTAGCCGAGGTCGTAACATAAAGATTTATAACCAGAGGAGCTGGGATCAATGTCAAAGTGACCTCATGGTTTGATTAATGCTGCCGAGGGTCAGGAAGCGTTGCAGTGCTTCATTATTCGGCCATGACAGGCCGAGCTGGGAGAGCAGCGTATGGTGGGGTTAGTGGGAGGTCAGTGTATGGAGGGAGATGGTATAAACTGGTGCAGATCAATATGAGAGCAGTCTAGAGGAGAGGAGAGTCCGGGGCCGAGGAGTGAAAGCATTAGTCCTCCATCAAAAACATGACGGTGGAAAAAAATCAAAGTGATGTAACTCAAACTCGCCGTGTCCCGACTCGTCAATCTAAACACACTGAGGGCCTGTGTCCACTGACAGCATGTTTCACACCGACAGAATCCACCACAACAGTTCCAGGTTAGAGGAAATGTCTCATGGTCTTTCTGTTTGTTTATCAGTGACCATAATATTCACTTTCATTTGGAGAAAAACTCTTTAAATGTGTTTCTATAAAAAACTAAAGATGGTTTATTTTCTATGGATCCATCAGCAGACGGTAAACTGGGATTTTTATTTAATCCGCCTCAGCCAGCAAAGACCCCTGTACTTCAGGGGGTCTTTGCTGCTGCTCTCCCTGCCTTGGATTTTCATGCATTCAAAGGCAACATAAAGGAAGGATTACACACATGTGCACACTACTCTTCCAGCACCTATTAATGTTGCAAACCATATGTCATCCATTTACACTTTTGATTTTACAAATGTTATATTTAAGGTCACTGAAGTCTGCTCCCCCAGCCTGGGTGTTTCATGTGAAGCCTCTTATATATGCATGTGTAACCCCCCAATTTCCACCGCATCCAGAACATCTACTAAAAGGTCGTATCCTCCGATCGTAGCTGATCGTAACCATTCAAGTTAATGTGTCCAATTTCACAAATGGATCAAGTGGAAATTCAGGGAAAGGGTCCTGCTCCGTTCTGGTCCCTGGGGTCTTTGCTGCTGCTCTCCCTGCCTCGATTTCTGCCATATGCAGATAAAACGTAGGAGAGGTGTGCTCTACCCGCCACAGGCTTTACCGAGAAGTCTTTCTCATGACTGATCAGAGTTTCCACGACATCACCGATAATCAGCTGTGACATCCTGAGGGCTAACTGCTCAGAGTGACATTCCTGCTGATTGTTTGTTAGAGAATAAGGTTTGTGTGTGTGACAGTGAAAGTACACACACATCTCTTCTGTCTTCATCTGCTGCATGGACACACACACACACACTCACACACACTCAGAGATGTCTGACTTTCTGTGTTTCTACTTTATGACTCTTTTATTGCACATCAACAGACTGCTGACTGTGACCGTTTACAGACTCTGGCTCTCACTGCCGATGATGTTCACCGTGTTATTCTCTCTTTGAAATAATTAAATATTAACTCCATCGTATCAAAGCAACATTTTTAGTTTTTATTTTATTACTTTGGGCATAAGCACTTTTTTTTTTACTACCCTGGAAATGAAGGGAGGCGGTTTAAAGACGCTTACTCATCAGATTTCCTCAAACATCCTTTAACTTCAGCAGAGATGATCGAAACCAACAATGAGCTCAATAATAATCCTAATTGGGACACTCCTGATTCCTCTGAGCCAAGAGGAGGTTTTTCTTTTATTAGTTATCAATCTTTGGATCAATATTGAGAAATGCTGATTCATTGTTTTGTGTGAAAAGTGCTGACCACAGCAGAATCTGCTGGTAAAGCCTGTAAATATAACAAAGACAACAAATCACTGCTGGGACTTAGAAATGTTATTGTTCAACATCTGCTCTTCATTGTGAGTCATATACTCAGTGGACCCGGTAGACCAGGTTCTGGAGTCCCAGTCTGGCCTGATAGAGGATTTCAGCTGCTTAACAGGACCGGATCAGCCTTAGAGACGGATCAGCCTTATGCAAACGGGCGGAGACGAACAAGTGAAAGGTTTTTAGACGTCATTTCACCCCGATGACACCATGGATGAGGAGATGCTGATTCTAGAAGTCTAGAAGTAGATTTCCTCCTCTGGAAGGACACAATCTACTGCTTATATGTCTATGTGTCTGTCTTTAGAGAGACAACTCGTTATCGCGAGATTGAACGTGAATCCGCGGGTTCTTGTGAGTTCTCGCAATTCCTTTTGTCCCTAATCTGCCACGAAATTCGCCTCACAAACGGATCCGGTAGGAATTACCGTACGGCGAAAATCGCTGTCATTCCAGATCAGAGCTGTTCCAGGAAAGAGACCAGATATCTCACTGTCCTTTTTCGACGCAGTCATGTGACTAACCTGTCGGACGTCGACCTCATTAGTTGGAGATCTTCCTCCAGCTGATTTTTACCTGTTTTCGTCGTTCCTGTTTTAAGAGTTAAAATCTCCTCTTCATGATTTTAAACCTCAAAGTCTGTTTTTATCTACATTAACATTTCGTCCAATCGCTGATCGACGTCGTGGTTGTGCAATACTTCCCTCCTTACAGACTGACAGTGTACGGAAAGGTCACATTGAGCCCACTTCTCTGTCTTACAGGTACTGTATGTCACCTTCTCCCTCTGCTCTGTTGGCGTCTTCCTGCCCACTCAGCTCCTCAGCACCTTGCAGCCCACACCTGCCACACTCTGAGGTTAACAAGTTGAAGCGCACAGCTGCTCCCGCTCCAAGACACACACACACACACCATCCCTTCACGCAGGCGCCGACCATCTCCGTCCTCTTTAGAAATACAGAGAAAAGCACAAACGCACCTCGATAAGGCGAGTACTCAGCCACTGCAACAGAAGAGCGTGGACGTGAGTACACTGTGACAGTAATCACTCTGTCATTTTTTCCACCTCAGCGCCGACGAGCTCATGTAACGAGAGAAAACGCCGCCTTTTCTCCCGCTCGGGCTCCTTGTCTGGTATAGAAGCCATTAACAGATATGGGATCCGCAGTCACACTCTTGAACGCCGCGGTATTAAGCAATCTGCGCTCCCACACTGAGAGGAGAACCTCGATAGAGCGGAGAGGCCCGCGAAGAGCCGCTCCAATCTGACCTCCCCACTGCAATGCAGAGCTGATAGTGAAAATCAGGACGCTTCCAAACATCAGAACCCCTCACACCAGTTACAGCCCGTATAAATAATTCCAGTTTAATCTCTCATTCCATTTCAATAAATTGCCTTTCAGCGCCTGGATGTGCTTTGATTAATTAATGCCGGCTCATGGCTCGCTAATCCCAGGGATAAGATCACAGCTGAGCCGCCTCTCTGACACGTGGGCTACTTTAGAGGGCCCGCCGGACCCTCATACCCACACTGACACCACCACCCATCACCCCCTTCACCACTCCCTGAGACCACAACTCTGGAAGCTCATGCATTATTAACGGGCAGTGCAGGCTTTCACGCCTGAGCTCAGAAGACAGCAAATGTCGGCCATTGTGCCCCACAGATCCGCTCCTTAAAGGATTCTGGACTTACAGCTTCCTGGGGTCCCTTTAAAGATCTGAGCCGTGCAGAAATAGAAAATGGCGTTTGCATGTAGAATGTGTGTATATGTGTGTGTGTGTGGGGGGGGTCAGTGTGCAGGCACAGTAAGACCCCTCTGTGATCGCTCATGCAGCAGATGGCACTAGCTGCTTGTGTCAGGGTTAATTTCAGTGCAGGTCACGCAACTCTCAGCGCCTCACCTCACCTACTGTACGAGCGGAGACGAGCGTGGATCGTCTTTTTATGAAGTCACCCAGATCCCCGGGATATCAACGTTTCATCCGGCAGTGTTTTATTTATTCACAGAGCAGATCCGAGCGAGAGGAGTCAAACGTCCGATCTGCAGGAGCAACATTCACCTCCATGTCAGAACAGGACGACCGTGCAGACTGATAAGAGGCACTGGGACAGGTTTTTTATGTTGATTCTGGGACCCGTGTTTGTCTGGATTACGCTGCGTCAGTTATAGAGATGTGGCTTTTACTAAAATGTGTGTTTGTTGTCGAAGCAAATGAGCAGAAAATGAGGTTCAGAGTCGAATGAAGAGAGGGAGGGAAAACAGATTTGAAGAATACAGCTGGAAGAGACAGAATACATAGATTAACAGATTAAATTAATTCAAAGATCTTAGATTATCTGACAGGAACTATTTAAAACTGACCAAACATGAGCAGCTTTAAAAACTAACAGTTAGAGTAAATTTGTCGCTGAGAGCCGAACCAAAAGATCGGGATCACTGGAAAAAACGGAAAACAATTACGATCGAAGTTATTATCAATAATAATAATAATGATGGATAAATAAAGATTGATCATATCGTGTGTCGTAAACACTTTCAAAATTAAAAGTTATCAGATTTTTTGTGGGTCAGTTTGACGTTACGCCACCAAACAGGACACAATATATTTTTTTTGTAGGACGGTAGGGGGAAAGTCCCGCCTCCTACGCCTCTGATTGGCTAGAAAAGCTGGAAACGTCATCTAGCGCTCAAGCCAAACGCGGGCTGTCGGCTCTGTACATCGAACAGAACATTATCCCACGTCTGAATCTCCTAACCCTAACCCGTTTCACAGCTATTAGGAATAACCAATTGGAGCCCAGCACTTCTAGCCAATCAGAGGCGAAGGAGGTATGAAACTTCTTCATACAGGGTTCGATTAGTTTAATATTTCACATACATGATCAAGAACACTCCTTAACACATCTTTATGCTTAGTCCTTTACTCCTGTCATAGCGCCCCCTTGTGGAAATACATGGAACTAACTATAACACTAAACCTGACCTTCTCTCATTTTCAGAAGTCTGGTAATGATTTCAGTCTGAGCCGATCTTCAGACATTTTTGTCGCAGTGATAGTGACACCTACTGGCCATGAGCAGCGCCCACTATCTCCCATGTATGCACTCAGAATCAGAGAATCAGAATGACCTTTATTGTAACTGTACTGGAGTACAATGAGATATATACGAGTTAAAGATTCTTTAGTGCAGTGCAAACAGTGCAATAGTACAGTAAATAAATATTAAGAGTATATATATGTAAATGGACATGTTTTGCACAGTGGTTGATACTCCTGAATAAGCCTTCAAATTTATGTGTTTTCAATAAACTGTCAGGAAGATCCTGGACGATTTGGAAACTCATTCCTGCCCTCAGCTTTAATTTCCTGCCGGTTTGAACAGATTTGCTCAGACCCGTCAGGTCGGTGTGGCTCATATTTAGTCTAATGAGGTATTTTGACGAGTTATGAGACCAATCACTCAGAGAGATCTGAGGTTTTTGCAGAAGTGCTGCTGGTGTCCGGGTTAATTTCAGCGTAGGTCAGGCTCCACTCGACTCCTCTCCTCCTGATGGGTTTATCTTCACTCCCCTTTTATTTCCCTCCTTCTTTTTCTCATCACTTCTTCCTGCATTATCACGACTTACCCTCCTGGCAGCCGCACAAACATGCAACACAGGAACGGATCAATTGGAGAGCACTACAGTTACTGTTTTTTTCTACTCTGGCCCCGAATGACTGCTGATCCCTGCAGCCCTGATTAAGGATCAGGAGCGTGAAAAGGTGGAGGTCTGCGGCTCCTTCACATCACATGCATCACACCGATCAATAGAGCTGAATAAGCACAGCTCACTCTGTATTATCCCCCCTTATCTTCACACTGACACCAGCCTGTAAGGAAACAGGCAGCAAACAGCCGACACTTCGGAGGATCATTCATTAGATTAGGATTATTTGCATGATCAGAAAAATACAAATACAGCTAATAAAAAGATTATTCTTTGATTGCTCAGCTAAGAGCTGCAGTTCATCTGTACTTCACACCATTATTAATGAATCTGAGAGCGGAGCCACATACTGCACCATCAGCTCCATCTGTTTCTGGATTCATCAGCTCCTCTGGAAAATAAAACTCTTGTTTTGGATGGAGAGATAAAACTGCTCCCATTTGTTTTCTCGTAGACAGGCAGCGATCCTCTGTGACCGTCACATGGTCTGTTTGTGCTGCAGCTGTTCACGGCAGCAGAAAAACAGCGACTCTCTGCTGGGGTTTATTCCAAAGTCTGGCCTCAGGACAGCCTGTCAGCCGCCATGTTTGCCCGGCCTGAGCTTGAAGCCGCTCCGGTAAAGAGGAGCTAAACTGAACTTTTTTAAGGGATTCCTTTAACACAAAACATTCTGATCACTTTTGAAAACCAACACTGAATAAAATTCATGTTTAGAAAACGAGCATCATCACCGATTTATCTCTCATCTGTGCTGCTGAAGGCTGTGAGACGCTCCGCTTCAACCCCGCTGCTTCATCTCCCGCCCGGCTTTCATAATCTGACCCCCCAGTTATGTAACGTCGCAGGCAGACGGAGAACACAATAAGAAGAATCAGAATAATACCACTCAGCTACTCACAGTGAGTCAACAACACATTACTCTGTTTGCAAAACAGCTTTGAAGATCCTTGCAGAAACATGCTGCTACACGCCGCGGTATTATTCCAGGTCAGGAAGTGTCTCTGAACACTCGGGGCGCAAACGCTCTGTGAGAGACAAAGGGCTCCGTCAGGGGTTACTGTCTCTTTAAGAAGCTTCAAAGCGTTCTAGAACTCAGTGTTCCAGAATCTGAAACATTCCAGCCTTCCAGAACCGGACAGCTTACATCAGCGTTCTGGAACCCTGTTAACATTCTAGAATCTATACTCACAACATTCTAGAATCTATATTCACAACATTCTAGAATCCAATAACATTCTAGAATCTATATTCACAACATTCTAGAATCCAATAACATTCTAGAATCTATACTCACAACATTCTAGAATCTATACTCACAACATTCTAGAATCCAGTAACATTCTAGAATCCAATAACATTCTAGAATCTATACTCACAACATTCTAGAATCTATACTCACAACATTCTAGAATCCAGTAACATTCTAGAATCTACTCACAACATTCTAGAATCTATACTCACAACATTCTAGAATCCAATAACATTCTAGAATCTATACTCACAACATTCTAGAATCTATATTCACAACATTCTAGAATCCAATAACATTCTAGAATCTATATTCACAATATTCTAGAATCCAATAACATTCTAGAATCTATACTCACAACATTCTAGAATCTATACTCACAACATTCTAGAATCCAGTAACATTCTAGAATCTATACTCACAACATTCTAGAATCTATACTCACAACATTCTAGAATCCAGTAACATTCTAGAATCTATACTCACAACATTCTAGAATCTATACTCACAACATTCTAGAATCCAATAACATTCTAGAATCTATACTCACAACATTCTAGAATCCAGTAACATTCTAGAATCTATACTCACAACATTCTAGAACCCTGCAACGTTCTAGAATCTATACTCACAACATTCTAGAGCCCTGCAACGTTCTAGAATCTATACTCACAACATTCTAGAATCCAATAACATTCTAGAATCTATACTCACAACATTCTAGAACCCTGCAACGTTCTAGAATCTATACTCACAACATTCTAGAACCCTGCAACGTTCTAGAATCTATACTCACAACATTCTAGAATCCAATAACATTCTAGAATCTATACTCACAACATTCTAGAATCTACTAACAACATTCTAGAATCCAATAACATTCTAGAATCTACTCACAATATTCTAGAACCCAGTACTGACAGAGAAAAGCTGCCTCTCTCACGGATTCCTGCCTCCTCCACCTTTAAATCTGTTTTCAAACATGAAGTGACTCAGTCCGGAGTCGTGGTCTGGTCTTCCCCTCCTGAAAGTCTAATTTTACAAAAACATCGTGAACAAAACAGGATGATTCGCTTTAAGCTGCGTGAACGTCTTAAATCATTTCTGCAGCCTTCACGCCGGCGAGCAGAGCTGCAGTTGGTCCGCTGTGGGAGGCAACATGACGGTTACACTCCGGTGCCCTTCTCTAAACTCGACCGCCAAAATCCAGGCTGGACCAAATCCTGCTGGGACGCAGGGGAAACTGGCGGTGGGGGGTCGAGGGAGGAGGAAGAGGAGGCTCATGATAAATATGGAGAATTAAATTCAAACAAGAAGGAAACGGAGGAATGGCGGCGCGATGAGAAGCGTTCTGATGATGAGGATTAAGATTTGGTGAACGGGAGCAGGAGGACACGGAGATATGGAGGCGCGGTTTTCATAAGAGCTTCAGAGGAGGAGCCAAGCTCACTTTCATCTCAGGTCATGGTGTCATTCAGGGCAGAGCGCGGGGACGCTCTTTAACAAAGTCATCTGATTCACTGAATTAATTAGCCGCCGCCGCCGCTCCGTAATGTCATTGTGCATTAGCCTGGGATTCAGCGACCGTCACAGTACATACAGAAGGCCGGATCTGAGATGATGACCCAGACCCTCAGAGACCCGGCTCTGAGCTCATCTGGCTGCTGTGACCCCCGTTCACACCGCCTCCCTGCAGGTCAACAGACCGACAGAGCGCTCGCCGACTCTGGCGCTCTTCCTTCAGTGTGAGAAGGAGGCGCCGCTCTGAGCAGACCTGTGAATGTTTGAGGCGTGTTGTTAAAGTCCTGGAGGAGGTTTTAGTGATCAGACTCACAGAGGAAATGTTCACGCTGAGCTGTTACTGTGGGGTGTTAGTGGGTTAGTCGTACATCACAGTGTTACTCTGTTATGGTCAAATAAAATACAGTATTTTATCGTATTTCAGTGCCTCCTGTTGTACTTCTTTAATCCAAATCTGGATTATAGTAAACCGACCTGACCCCAGAGTTTGATGTGAGTTTTTAGACCTCAGGCACCAAACTGAGACCCACACCTGTGATCCTCTCATCCCCTCTTTGACATTTTCTTTCTTCGTTTGTCTTCTCGGTTAAAATCGTCCTCCTCCTGTTTTCCTCAGATGACTCGATCACCATGATTCCCAGTGTTCTTGTTTTCTCTGAATAAAGGTCGTCCTCACTGACTAAAGCTATTTAAAATGTCCCACTTTGAGGCGACTCAGACTCTATTTGTGTTGCAGGATGAACTCCTAAATAGGCCGGAGTTTTTGGGTGGATCTGTGGAGGTCCTCCGTCAGTGTGAAAACTTCCTCAGACTCTGTTCTGACACAGATCTGAAACGTTTATTCGGTATCATTCATGAATATGGAGGCGGCGGTGATGTCAAACACCGACCGAGCGCCTCAGAAACCAGGCGGCCCCTCACTGAAATCTGGAAACAGCTGATTTAGGAGTGGTCAAAGCGTCCAATCCCGATCATTCCCGTGTGTCGCACTGACTTCTTCCTGCAGAGAGTCATCGTGGTCGTCAGGAAGAATCGAGGCCGTAAATCAAAGCGAGCGTCCGCAGGAGGAGAGCTGAATGAGTCAGTTATTGTTCTGCAGCCTCCCCTCCAGCTCCTGCAGACATGTCTGCTCCTCTCTCCTCCGTCTGAGTCGCATTCATTAGCCCACTTTCCCGCTCCGCCATGTCTGCGCGCCATATGTCCGAGCGGACTCGCTGACGCAGCCGAGAGGGCAGAGAGTCACACCTCTGTGGACTCGGTTTTCCACACTCGCTCCACTCGTCTCCACGGACCGTACACCGATGAGGCCGGACAGCTAATGCTGCAGATTGATGATTAAAGTCTGGGCATGCTCAGATGAATCCTGAACACTTTTAGCTCTGCCCTTGTAGACTTTGTCTCCTCAGAGTGAACGAGGACATATTCACAGAGACAGAGTGGACTTGATGAAGTGTTCAGTGTTTATATATCAGGTCAAAGAGAGACAATAAGACATTTTTTAAGACATTTTAGGGCCTTAAATATTCGTCACATACATAAACGGGTGATTGATTATGTTATAAAAATTAGTATTTTTCATTGATTCATGGACAGGACTGGAGTTTGTGAAAGTATTTGAAAATCACAATAATGTAAAAATGTTGTGGCTCTATTCTGAAGTTTCCACTTGATGGTTTGAACTTTGTAAAAAAGGTTAAAGTCATGGTCAGAGAGGGGTGGGAGAGGCGGCGCTGTCAGAACTCCTAACAGAAGGATTCCCAGACCCGCTCCATAAATAACAGCCGCCGCTTCTGCAGGAATTCAGAGATGTCAGTGGGATGCTCGCCGCTGCCCCGAACGTCACCTCACATGACAGCGAAGACAGAAACATCGGAGGTCGGCTCGGCATCATGGGAGCGCCGCTCTCGAGGAGCCGTTTTTGACCATTTATGGAAGCAGCTGCAGGATTTATGAATGTTTGTCGGTTATCAGCGCTCTCCAGAGCCTCCCGTTGTTCTCAGCATGCAGGGATAAATGTTCTGTTTATAAGAAAAGACATTATGATCCCATTACTTATACGTCTTTATCCTGCTCAGTTTGCACCAGTCCTCTGTCTTCATGACGGTGTTTCTGGTCTTGCATAATAAAGTGGGAAGTGGCCTCTTCTCTGCCCGTTACAGAAACTGTTCTCCAAATCGACTTCACCTCATTTCTCATTACAAAGCTTTAGAGGAGCGCCCTCCAATCCCCCGTGAAGATTAATGACCACCTGACTGCCTTGAAATTCAAATTTGACATTTTAGCTCATGTTTTGTCTCATTTGACATTTAATGAGTCCGTCTCTTAACTGAAGGAGCAGGTCAGAGCGTTTGGCCCTCCACACCTTTTTCTAATCCTCCATGTTTGAGATTAACCGGAGGGTGAAGACGGAGAGGAGGAGAGAGAACCGAACGTTTTCATCACCGATCATCTGATCTTCACTTTAATGAGTTTGTGTTTCTAACAGCAGTGTTTCATTCCCACTGGAACGAGTGAACTTCAGGCTGATTATTTTATTATGTTTTATAAATAAAAACAAAGTGAAGTTACTGGATATCAGTTCTATGTGAGAGATAAAGGTGTGTTGTCAGAATCCCAGGATTAGATTTCAGGCTGCTGTGAACATTTTGTTCAAAAACTCAAGAATTTATAAAAACCCTCAAGAGATTTCAACCAATTTGTGAAATCACCAGTTGATGAACCAGGATTTTGTTTGTGGTGTATTTACAAAAAATCGTCTAATATCAGTCAATAGTTATTAGTTATTGATGACATTTGGTAATATATCGATATCTCTGTGTTCTCTTATGTCTGTGTCGTCAACGTTTGAACATTTTTGAGCGGTCCGCTCTTTCTGACTGTAAACAAAGCCGTTCTCCACCTCCTCTAACCTGATTGGTTGTGAGGCAGACGCTGCTCCCCCGTGTCGTTCAGGAGCCCAAACAAAGTTAGCGTGCTACAATATCGGACAGTAGAAACCAACCAGAAAGTTCGGAAAATTGTCTGAATCCTCCTTTGGCCACGACTGCCGACACAAGCAAGAAAACAAAGTAAATACCGGAGACTCTGGAGGAATAACGGGCGCTTAAAACGGAGGTAGACCGGACAAGAGCTAAAAAGCCGGGTCAACATAAACGATGGGGGACGCTTGGGGATCTTGGTGACCCTGTAACCTTTCTGCTGGACAGGTAAACCGCTTTAACAAAGTAAGACAAGTGTCTGTAACAGAAGTGTTTCTTGTCAAACGGACCTGCTGTAGCGTGTTGTAGCGCCATCGCTAAACTGTCCTCCCTCGGGTCCTGGACTATGTCACTTTATCCTCGTTGTAGAAGTCCTGCAAACATTGTGTTTGCTGGTAGTCTGTTGGCATCTACAGTAGCACCAATGCTTTTGACTTTCACCTTGACTGGGCCCCATTTGTAATGATCTGAAGGATTTATCTGCATTATATCTGAATTTAATTGGAACGATACGAGCGAGCAGGAGCGTCTGTTTGTGGGCGGGGCTTGAGGGGAGAGGAGGTGCTGAGGGAAAACTGGTTGGGAGGGGTAGAGTTTACATTCAAGATTTCTACTAAAAACTGGAACTAACTCAGATCCTGACTACAACACCTTCAAAAAGGAGGTTCAAGACATTTCAGAGCGTTCTAGAACTCAGTGTTCCAGAATCTGAAACATTCCCGCCTTTCAGAACCCGAACAGCTTCCATCAGAGTTCTGAAACCCTCCAACGTTCCAGAATTCAGTGACGTCCAAACACCTTTAAACAGTTTAACAGTCAAAACTCAAGATGGTTTTAATGTAATTGAATATTTTGGGTCGTAATCTAATCCTAATGTGATTAAGGCAGTAATGCTGAAGAGTGGATCTGGTGTAAATACCTCTTTCTGACTCTACGACGATCCTGTCAGACTGTTTTCATCTGATGTCAAAGACGCAGAAAGGAGGTTATTCAGATTCAGATTTATGCTGCGTAGCTGCTGGCATTAGCGTCTCGGCGGTGCATTCACATTAACATAAGAGTGTTTACCTGCTCCGAGTTTACAGCTCCGAGGCTGTGAGGAAACTCCAGAGTTCATTTAGAGGGAAAGACCTTCAGACCCAGAGAGAGTCTACAGAGGAACCCATCAAGAATCTATATCCTCTGATGCTAATATAGACAAATATAGATGATCAGTTTGATCAACATTTTATAGAGCAAACCTCAGCAGTGAGTAAACTCTTAAAGGAATCACAGAAGCTCTGAAGACTGAGCAGCTGAGTGACTGAACGCAGGATAGAAATGACAACATGATCCGCATGATTTCCACCCTCAGCATCGTCTCAGTCTTCTCCTGGTTTCCAAAGATAATCTTGTCAGATTTTTGGTGACAAGGATGTTAAGAGTCATTTCACTAACTCAGATCTGCTTGGAGGACGATCCTGATCACAACAGAGTTAAGTTGTACATTTTAAACATGAGCTGACGGCAGGAGGAGTCACGACGAAAGAACAAAACAAGAACAAGAACAAGACCGTCAGACATAGAGGGACAGACTGATGATTTTTGAGAACTGCTGCTATAACTTCTGGAACAAGTCCTGCTGGGAACATTATTCATACTAGATCTGGTGACTTTTCATGAATAATCATAGAAATTTGCTCCGCTAGTTGTTCTTCATTAAACAAAGGCCCCTCTGGATGCTCTGCCAGTGTCTATAGTTCCCTCTGGATGCCTGTCAACTGGACAAAAGGTTTTCAAAAAGCCCCTCTAGATGACTTTCCACTTTTGGTTATTATGTGAACATAGTCCTCCATGCATACCCTTCCAGAACACAGAACATACCAAAGTGCTCTCTGGGTGCCTCTCTAGCTAATAAGAAGTAAAGAAAAAGCCCCTCTGGATGCTCTCTGGGTGGTTGAATGGAACAAAAAGCCCCTCTGGAAACGTCTTCACTGGATAAAATGTAAACAAGTCCAGTTTAGTCGCCTTTTCACAGGATAAAATGTAAAGAAATGTTCCTCACGTATGTCCTTCAAGTAAATGTTGAAGTGTCCTCTAAAAAGTACAAAAGTCCCTCTGGATGCCTCACCTCTGGATAAAACACGAAAAAATCTCCACTTCATGTCTTTCTTGTGGACAAAATGTTCAACAGTCCCTTCTGGACGTTCTCTTTAGTTTCCCTTCCATCATATTAAACCTTCTTCTGTCCAGAGTTATCAAATAAAGTTCACTCTACCAGCCTGATTAAGTTATTTAGTATGAAGCTTGTGATCCGACTGAAATCTTTGTGTGTCACGGTGATCTAAATCTGTTGTTGGTAAGTTATAAAAAGACAAAGCTGTTAATTCTGAATAAAAACACAATCTTCTAGATGTTCCTCCTCATCAGATCAAACCTGCAGAAGAAGGATCATCGTCAGGACAGGGAACTCTGAATCCTGCACTGATTTCTTCACTTTGTATTCCTCAGATCAGACGGGGTGTTTAATGATGCAGACAGTTTGATCTGCGAGGTTATGAGTTCATGAATATGTACATGACTGTCATGGAGGTAAAACGATCGTTTATCCTTTTACAGAGTGAAATCAAAGGTTTCCAGTGAGTCTCTGCTTCTTTCTGAATCCTCTGAAACATGTGAGAACCTGAGTGAGGTGAATAATCCAGGTGTGGACCTGAACTCTCTGATCTGAAGAAAACGTCTCTGTTGTCGTCGTTGGTCTGATCGTCGGCAGTAAAACTGAACTTCAGGACTCAAACCTTTTTCTCTGCTCTGAATAAAAAACTGTTTCTGCAGAAATCTCACATTTACTGAAAACCGTCACTTTGACTCTAAAGCGCCGAGCTTTCATACTGTGATATTTTCATTTGGGACCCACAGCCGGAGTCACTCAGTCTTCCTCACACCCCCGTCCTTTATATTCCAGCTCCAGCGCTTTGTTTACCCGTGTTTAGTCATATCCAGGCGCTTTTATTTGCTTTTACCCTGCAGAGCCTCTGTCTGAGAATGTAAACAGAACAAAGAGCATCAATATGAACACACATCTTCTTCTTCTGCGGCTCTTTGACTTCGGAGAACACAAAGAAACTGAAGAAAGTCTCGTCATTTTTCTAAATCTGAGTCTATCAGGTAACGTAGAGCTTCACCAACTAGATTGACCCCCTATCTCCAAAGTATTCCTCTTTTTCATCGTATCAGCTGACTTAATAACGTGATGATATATTCATCACTTCTTTCAGTCCAAACTGCTGTCACATACGACTCAATATTGACGGTAAAACACACCTGTACTGAATAACTGTAAAATCCACTCGCTCCGTGAGGCCGGCAGCTTTCTTTGCAATAAGGTTTTCATATCCCACAGAGAAGATCAGAGTCTGTTTAGAGCCGATCCACCAGAAACTAAGATGATAATGACGATCTCTGGATTAACTGACTGTGTGAATAATGAAATAACAGTTCAATAAATCTCTGAAAAGTCGCTTCACTCGATGCAAACTCACTTGAACGATGTCGAATCTTTTATCATGTATTTCTGTCTGTAAGTTGAGAATTTCCTGACAGTTTCGTCTCTTACCGAACATCAGAGGAGCGTTTAAAACCTCCTCATTACCTGCTGAGTTCAGCAGAGTCTGCCACAGTTTGAAGACGTTCAGGTGCAGAAAGGATGAACTTTAGAAAATCCATCTGCTAACACGGCGCTGTAATTTGTAAACTAAGCAAAGAAACTTTGAGAGGAGCCGCTCGCTGACGTGCGACAGCTGCTTCCTCCCTCATTTATTTCTCTTTGCTCTTTCCTTCCTCTGGAAACGGTGCGAGATAAAGAAAATAAAGAGGTCTGAAAGTACAGACTGAGCTCCTCGTCCTCCTGCAGCCCCCGGGAGAGTCGGGACTGCACAACAATCAGGAGAGGCCCTGAGCGTTATTAGGATTAGGAGGAGAAGGCAGAGTTTCACTCCTCAGATGGAGTGAGTTCAGAGGGAGTGTTTGAGTGTGATAGGGCTCGGTTTAAAAACACTCTGTGAGGTCTAAGACGGCCGTCAGCCGGGGACAAAAGAGGATCAGGGAGTCGGACCGGGATTACAAACACAAACACTCAGAAGAATTAGGAAGAAAAAACAACAAACCACTAATGAATTATAATGATTTTTTTTCTCTGTGTCAATATTGATTCAAACAGTTATAATGAAGCTCCACACCTGCGGGGGGCACTGTGGGTACTTCAGAGGGGATTAGTGCTGCATGTTTGTTCAACAAAGAGGTAAAATCAGCCTCTATATCAATTAAAGTTGACGTTTGGACACATTTAGCTTTTAGACGTTAAACTGGAACAAATAAATTGTAAATAAAGTCATAATCATAAAAAACCAAAACAATACGACAAACTTCTGCAACTGTTTGAGCCGACAGCGCGCCGAGGTTTGACGACCTTCAGCGAAAACTAAACATGAAAGTGAAAAAACGAACTCAGTCGAGCTGTGAGGGTGTGAAATATTAAGGCTGATCATCAGTATTTGTTTGTTTATATTTAAAAAGAATAGAAAGTTAATTTTTCGCTGCAACAAAAATGTTTTTGCTGACTCAGCAGTTCTTTATAAAACAGGTTAAAAAAAAACAACAAAGTGTAAAAAGAGAAGACTTGTGCTGCACTGTGTGGGGAGTCCAACATCAGGACTATCAGGTGGTGCTAGCTCTGCTAACTTTAGCCACACTCAGCTAACCTCTTTTGTATCCTTCACCCACAGAAATGACGATCCAGTTCAGACATCCAGACTAACAGAGCTCAGGTCTGACTGTCAGTGGGAATAAGAACAATAATGATAATAATAAATTTCATTTTTAACGCGCTTTTACAGGAGCTCAAAGACGCTTTACGAAGAAAAAATTTTAGAGAAATAAAACCAACGATGTAAAAGTTTAAAAAAGACGCAATATGAAAATAAAGGGAAAGTTCACAGATTAAAAGCCAATTCATAAAGGTGTGTTTTGAGGGGGGGTTTCAAAGTACGGGGGTCTGTACGGTCTCAGGTGGGTTTGGGGAGTGAATTCCAGAGGGTGGAGGCAACAGCGGAGAAGGGTCTGACCCCCCAAGGAATTAACATTTAAACCAGAAACCAGAAACCAGAAACCAGTCTCTCTTCAGAACATCCTCATAACCAGTAAAAGAGCCACAGTTATTTATAACAAAGTAAAGGTCGACACTGAGAAACTGAGACGGAGAACACGGTCTGTCAGTGGAAACTCCTGATTCTGATTTTCTTCAGCAGAGTCATGGAGGTTTGGTCCAGAAGAGTCTCCTTAAGAACTGAAGGACAAAAACCTCAGAAACTCTCCTCGCCCCCCATCTTTGAGTCCAGTTCCTGCTGCTCTCAGGAAGCCTCTCTCTCTTCTCAGCGGTCGTTAACTTGACTAAAGCCTCTCTGACTTCCCTGCATGTTTTCCTCTTTGACAACATTACACAACCCAAAACAAGCCCGCCGTTAAAGCCAGTGTTGACTGCAAATACTCCTGACAACGTTCAAACTAAATCCTCCTCTGACCCGCGCTCTTTGGACCAGCGAGGCCGCGCTTTTTGTGGCCAATCAGAGCAAATGGACGGTACGAACGCTCGCCGAGGAGGGAGGAGATGAGGAAGGGCAGAGAGAAGGAGAGATGCTCTCGTCCAGCAGCTCCATGGATCATCAGACCTGCACGCTCTCCTCATGACACACAAACTGCAGCCCTTTCTTCTGATAACTGGCCTTTCCTCCTCGCTCCTCAAAGATCGGACAGTGTTTGATCACCCAGGTCGGAGCAGATTACTGAGAAATTCTCCCCGAGAAGAGAGAGAGCGAGTAAAGAGTAATAAACACTCAAACTGACTAAACAATCAGATTTTCCTTCTGATCGATGTCCTCCTGCCTCCAGGAGTCAGAGCCGAGTTCTTCTCAGGAGGAGAGGAGATCTCTCTGACACTGAGGTGGTTTATTGGAGACTCGGATCAGCGGACGGGTTCAGAGTGTCTGTCAGGAGTGACTCCATCAAGAGGAGCAGCACAGACACCTCCACCTGCTGTACCTGCTCACCACACCTGACCCGTCTTCAGTGTCTCCTCGAACATGGTCGTCTGCAGAAACCTTTGTCCTGATTCAGATCAGGAGTTTGTCTTCAACTGTCCACATTCTGGGTACGAAGTAAGGACTGTGACCTCTGAAGTGAGTTATGTTCCTTTTACAGCTGATGTTAAATCAGACCTTCGGAGTTTAATGCATGAAGAAAATTATGACAGAACTCTGTTTTTTTTCGTTCTCTGCATGTTAATCTGTCACTCAAACACAGACGAGGCGTTCCTGCAGAGCGCCGAGTTCGTTTAAGGCGGCAGAGTCCACTTCAGCATAGATCTACAGGTCTAGATCCTCACTGCCTCCACATGTTTGTTTCATTCAGAGGGATTTTTTCTTCGGTGATGCAGACACCAGCAGGTAAAGGTGTAAATATTTGATGTTCTGATGACATCTTTTCATTATTGACGTTAGTAGCTGCTTAAAAAACAGTGAATATAAACGCCGTTAAAGTCCGGGTCAGCGTTTCTCAATATTCGCCAAATTCGATGACAGAGCTGACCCCGTTTTCAGCGGACTGTAGCCTCGCTTCTGTGCAGACGCTCTGCTGTTTCACAAACTTCACTGTTAGTCATGCCTCAGTGTTCGGAGGTTTTCAGGAGTGTCCTCGTCTTCTTGCGTCATCTCAACGGCTGCTAAAGTTCGATGATGCAAAAGTTTAGAGGAAACGAAAACTCTCCTCAGTTCAGCGCTGATTTAAAAACCGTGTTTCACAGAAGGGTTCGAGCAGCACCACCTCTCTCCTCTCTGATTCTGAACAACAGGATCTGTCCGTCTTTAAATGACACTCCGAACCTGAACTCCAGCCTGTCCTTGTCCTCCGGCCTCCTGCTGCCGTGACGAGTTCAGATGGAGGAGGTCGAAACTTCAGATCTCCTCTCCACGTAAAGTTCATGTGACGTTTGACAACTTCTCCAGTTTACCTCGCCGTCCTGTCTGCAGGAGCCGAGTGAAGAAGGTCAGGAGGTCCAAACATGAGGAGTGCTGCTGAGGAGAGGTGTGTGTGTGTGTGTGTGTGTGTGTGTGTGTGTGTGTGTGTGTGTGTGTGCAGCTGTGACCCACCAGGCCTCGTGGGAAGCTGCAGCCAAACTGATGAATGCCAAGGCGAGAGGCAGGGAGGAGGGAGGAGGGAGGGTAAGGGAAGGAGGAGACAAGTGCCTGTGCTGCAGCACTGCAGGAGAGAAGGAGAGAAGGAGAGGAGGAGAGGGACTGAGGGGATGAAATGGAGGACCAGAGAGGAGACAGTGCAGAGAGACTGAACCGTGGTGCAGACGGCGTGGTGTAGGACGGAGGACGGCGTGGTGTAGGACGGAGGACGGCGTGTGTTTTCACTCATTTCCTGCAGGTGTCTCTGTCTTCTGTTGCACCGAGGCAGAATCATTGTCCTCTCGTCCCCGGAGATCCTCTGGTGTCTCCTCCCTCTCCTCCCTCTCCTCCCTCTCCTCCCTCTCCTCCCTCTCCTCCCTCTCCTCCCTCGCCCTCTGAACAAACAGCTCTCCCCCAGGAGACGGACGCAACAGGGAGACGGACACCGGGGACGATCGACCTGCTCGCTCTCTGCTCTGTTGTTTCAGCCCGTGGTCGAGCGAGGACGACCCACAGCTGATGTTTAGACTTCCCAGCAGAGTCATGTGTACGTTTCCTCTCATCCTGACCTTCCCCCAACGCCACTCCTCGCCGAGCGTCCGCCCCGCTGCAGAGAAACGTAAACACGGTCCGGGGGAAGCCTCTCTGTGAAACCGCTCCCATCCTGTCTGCATCGACGCCGCCGTCTCAGTTTCATGAGGTCCAAAAACACAAACGAAGATCACTGGACTCACAACGATGCAGAGAAGACGAGCTAACGCACCGACGTCCACGCACGGCGAGCCCTCAGGACCACACCTCCTGTCCTCATCATCAAAGTTTCGTCACGTTCAGACGTTTCCTGGTGAAAAATACTCGCACACTTCACCTTCAGCTCATCTTTTTTAACATCATGCGTCTGTTTATTGGATTCTCGCCGGACCTCACTCGCAGGAATACCGAGCGTTAAGTTATGGACCGACCAAGCCAAGAGTGGGAGGTGACGGAGGACACGGCGGCAGCGCCAAGAAGTCCGCCTGCTGGATCTTATGTCTGCTCGCCGTGTTCTCCTGGAAGGACACGGTGGACACCTTGAGCTGCAGATATCAGCGCAGAATTAGAATCAGAACATCAGTCCGACTAACCGGATCCACCCGGAGTTCATGACCTGAGCAGACGCCATTACTGACAGACAAACAGGTATGAGGAGGGTCGTCAGGAAGATTGATAAAAATATCATAAAATATTTCTAAATTAGAGTTTTAACTTTTTTATTTTTAATCAAGACTGGCTGGTTTGGCCCTCCTGACGTCATACAGCATTAAAACGCGGGACAGCGAGCGGCGTCGTAGTGAGCGCTCTCTCGACTGTATTGATACCATGGCAAATTAGTATCATATCCAGATACGGCGTGTAAGTATCGATACTTTTGACAACCCTAGTTACTGATTACTCTCTTAAAGTAGGAGGGAATTTAACCAACAACCATCTAATGAGGAGCATCTGTACGTGGGTGTGTGGACTACAAACTGAGCTGAAGCAGAAACAAAGAAAACTTCATTAAAGATCAAGAATCGCAAATACTTTGATGGAAACTCCGATTTTCACCGCGTTGGGAACAGCTGCAATTTTCGCCGTCGACCAATTCCTACCAGATCCGTTTGTGAGACGAATTTCATGGCAGATTACGAATACGATCCTCCTGAAACATGGAGCGTTTTATTTTGAAAAGAAGCCGGATGTTTTATTTTGTGTCTGTGCCCGACTTCCTTTCCAGCACGGGTTAATCTGTGCTGAATTTATCCGCCATGCTCCGGCGTCCAGAAAAAATAGAACTCTTGTGATCAGCTGAGGAGTCCGGCGATCCTCAGAGGAACGGAAAGAAGTCGGTGTAAATTGACACGTTAACTTGAATGGTTACGATCAGCTACGATCGGAGGATACGACCTTTTAGGAGACGATCAGGATGAAGGTGGAGATTGGAGGTTACTCCTCCTCTCTTCTCCTCTCCCTGCTCTCCTCTCTCTCTCCCTCTCTCTCTCTCTCTCTCAAGGTCATCTATCATCTCTGATTTTTCTGAATGATCATTAAACTCAGACAGTCGTGTGTGTCGTCGTCGTCATGGGAGAATAAACACAAAGAAAACAAACAGACACTTTTAGAAAATTTGATCACTGCGCGAGAACTTAAACACGCTGAGACGAATCAAACCCACAACCTGATCCAAACAACAGATGGCGACGGTCAATCAAAGTCGGAGCGGAGGAAAGATTTAATTTGGCGTGGATGTCACGCTCCTGAGCTCGCAGACAATAACACTGACTCTTCCTTTAGTTTGTCAGATCAGTCATTTCAACCTGAGAGCGCCCCCCGGAGTTCAGCAGAGGGGGGAGTCTTCAACATCTGTGAGTCGACAAAAGAAGTCAGGACGACTTCTGTGACTCCAGTTTGAAGCCTGAAGACGTTTAACTCAAAGGATGAAGTTTGACTGTGAAATTAAAGGTGAGAGTCTCATCAGGAATCAACAGAAACCTGAGAGGACATGAGCAGAAACATCTACAGGTCAGAGATCCAGATCGAGACTGATCTATTCAGGGTTTATTCAGAGTTTGAGACAGTCAGACCAGTTCACCTCTGCAGGAGTCTCCCAGTATCTCAGCCCGACCCACAAACCTCAAACCCCGGTTAGACGATCCCTGTCAGACTGACCTGATGCACAAACACTCTAATATCTATTTTGCTTTTATTTTTCTGCATTTTTCTCAGTGTTTTGCGCTTCAGTCCTCATGTAAACACTTTCATATGAGCTCAGACTCTGAATCAGAGTTTGCTGAAACTCTTTGATCATCTTCTTTAATCGATCTACTTCACTAGAAAGTCTGACTGAGTTTTTAAGATCCTGCTTCATGCACATAAAAAACGGTCCTGCTCTGAAATAAAACAATGAGACGTCCTGATGAGTTCACCGTCACATCAGCGTGTCGTATTTCCCCAGAAGCGAACAGCTCTCCAGTCTTATATGTTTTTATAAATCCAGAAACATCCTGGTCACAGCCGAGTTCTGGCTCCAGGTCGACTACAGCGTGGGTGAGAGCTGACAGGTGGAGAGGCGCTCCTGTTCTCTGAATATATCTGAATAGATTTCTGATGATAATGTCTTCATCAAACATCTGTGGCTCTGTAAACGCGGCTCCCTTCAAAGGACCCCCCCCCTCTGAAGAGAGCCGGACATGCTGATCAGAAATAACAACAGATCATTCTCAGTCAAAGTACAGCAGGGTCGAGCAGGGTCCGAGTTCGCTACTGAAAGTGGGTTTCAGCTCTGATTTGGTGTTTTTAAAGATCAGGATGGAAAAGAAAAAATACTGAAAAAAACACCAACAGCTCCGTAACAAACAGAAACAGAGATAACGTCAGCATTCAGCCGCCTCCATGTTCGAATTCAAGTTTAAAATCACAAATAAAGAGATTTTTGGTATTTAAGCGCTTCAGGAGAGTTAATGTTTAAATGCTAGCGTCTGTTTTTACATCGAGTTAGCTCTCCGACATCGAAGTTATAGTTGAAGTGACCTGTAAACGTTCTTTGTTTCAGCCGTTTTAAATGTGCTGACTCAAACTAACTTTGGGTTAAAATCCTCGCAAATGGCTACAGCGTCCTCGCCGTTCAGTCCAGTCAGCCGTACTCCCAAATCGCCGAACTCGTACAGACGATATTTAAGAACGAGAGCTTGAAGATAACCAGACTAAAACAGTTTTTGAACCAGACTGTTACCGCGTTCATTTTTGCTCTTTTTGAATGAGTGTGTATGTGGTTCAGGTGCTTTTGCAGACAGCCCCTAGTGGACACTCTGGGAACTGCAGTTTTGCTGCTTGATTTTAACTTAAAATGTGAACTGAACTCTCTCCTGACTTTTTCTGTCTACGGTCTGTGATGCTGAAAAGACCACATAGCGCCCCCTGCTGTTGAGTTTCATGTTTTACTGCGGTGATTGAAATAAAAATATCTCCTCTGAGCTTTTCTTCTTCTTCTTCTTCTTCTTCTTCTTCTTCTTCTCTGAATCCCGCCAGTGTTCGGATATAAACCTGACATTCTTCGAGTGGTTGGCAGCGTCTTTGAGCAGAATGACGCAGGTTACACTGACTGCCAATATCCTGTTGGCCAATATTGATGTAAAACAACTTGAAATCTTGGCCTGATAATGGCGTCAATATCCTGATTGACCTCTCCAAAGGACTTTCAAATCTGCAATATGTTGATGAAGGAGTCAGCAGGAGCTGGCACTGCTGACGCCGTCAATAAATCAGCCAGAAGAAGCTCCAGATTCACGTGCGCTCCACGTCAATGAGCCAGCAGCATTCACACAATTGAATTCCTGTATCACACACACACACAGACGAACACACACACACTAACACACACTCACTCACAAAGACACACATAGGGCAATGCTAACCTGTGGAGACAGGGCAGTGGGAGGCTGGCTGAAGAGTGTGGAGTGGGCTGCTGACCGTAGGCCATGTGCTCTCCTCACAGTCTGACGGGAGAAAGAAGCAGACAGTACCTCCTGCTGAGGAAAAGACACAAACAGACGGAAATGTCGAGTTAGAGAGCGTCATCTTTAGCCCAAAGTAAAAACCGAGTGTTTGGAAATCATCACAACACCGATGGAAACAGAAAATCCTCCATCAGAGCCGTCTCTGCTATGAGCCGCAAAGAGGCTTAAAATAATGAGGCGTGAAAGTGGTAGTTTCCTCTCTGTCCGACCACAGACCAGCACAACTTCTCTTTTAGTGGCAATTTGAAGTGAGCGTGTTTGTGAGGTGAGAACAGATTATAAATACAGAGGTCAAAGGTCAGCACATGAGCAGAGAAATGAGAAAGAAAAACATTAAATATCTGAAAAAACACAAACAGAAATGACTTTAAAAACCGTTTTTTAATTTCTGGATTAAGTTCAGTTTTCCTTTTTTGTTTTTCTAATGTTCATTTTTTTAATTTATCAACTATAGAAGAGTTTAAACATGTAATAGATGAATGAAATTTAATAAGAAAATATTCTGAGTTCAACTGTTTCAACATAAAAATACAACAAAAAAATACATTTGGTTCTTCAGTAAAATCAGGACCTTCAAAAATCTTTGTCAGTGACTTGAAAGAAAAATAAAAACTTCATTCAGAAAATAAAACACAAACCATGAAAACATCAAGCTGAACATCAGGGTTTTTACGTGTAAAATTAATGATGGATGTAGCGATAAAACGCCTTTACAAAAACACACAAACACACAGAGGAAGATATTCACAAAAAAAAAACAAAAAAAACAACTTTAATCCGACTTTTTTCTCAGAATTTAGTCTGAAGTGTTGACATGAGGAGTGGGAACCTAAGAGCGAGAACTATGACATTAAAGTCGGATTTTAAACAAACTCGGAATTCCGAGATCAAAGTAGCAATTCTAAATGTGGAATCAGAATTCTGAGATCAAGGTTCGGAATTTAAAAAAAATCAGAATTCTGAAATCAAAGTTGGAATTCTGATTTTTTGACTCAGAATTCCGAGATCAAAGTCGGAATTCTAAACATGGAATCAGAATTCTGAGATTAAAGTCAGGGTCTGAAAAAAAGGTCGCCTTTCTGCTCCGAACTCGGCGCTCACAGCACATTTCCTACTTTTTCTCAACTCTGACATCATCAAAGATGGCCGCTCTCCTGTCTCTTCCTGTGCAGTACAGACTGAAGCCTGAGCTGAAAACAGATCATTCACACACAGACAAGTTGTCAAGAGCTACAGCGTGAAAACTTTCTCCCAACATCTTCCTGGATTTGACCTCCTGCTGCTTCTTCTCCCCCTGGATCCTGCTGATTTACTCTCACGTATTTCTCTAAACTTCTGCTGAGAAACGCCGAATAAGGTCAAAGTGTTTATTAACCAGCAGCATGAAAATGTAAAACAGAGAAAAGATTCATGACCGGTGTGCTCAGCCGTCTCTGAATCTGCTGAATTTATTTGGTGGATTTCAGGGAAACCCAGGAGACCTTTAACGGCCCCCCCTGCTGGACTCTCCCCTCCTGCACGCAGAACTCTGCAGCCGGAATCGTGCGAGCGAGACGGTCGAGCTGTCACGACAAACTTCCTGCGTTCGCTGGGGAGCGAGTGTGAGTGGGCCTGCGCTGCTGCAGCCGTCAATCAGAGATGAGAGCGCTGACCGGCCTGCAGCTGCTCCGAACCTCCACCAGGACGAGCAGACGGTTATTTATTCACCGTCTCTGATTGAAGGTTGCTTACAAGTCCTCATGCTGGGGGAGAAAACGCTCTGAATTTGGCTGCTTTGATGTTCGTGGAGCAGGATGAGAGCGTTTGAGAGCGTTTTGGCTAAAGAGAGAGATTTCTCACTCCGTGTGTGTGTGAGTGTGTGTGTGTGTGTAGGTGTGTGTAGGCAGGTGCATGACAGAGGGGGTCACGGTACACCAGGATGACTAAAATACTTTCACCTTCAGGTTCATGCGTACTCTCAGATGTTCCCTCAGATGGAGATAAAGTGGATCCTCCATTAGAAACACGGAGAGCGCCTCGACTCAACAACTGGTGGAACCCATTAACTGCTCATATTAGAGGCGTGGCCTGTGGGGGGGGCCGCGCTCACACACACTTAAACAGTACTTCAACACTCCAGCAGCTCGATCACGGTGTTCGGAGAGAGCAGCCGGAAAGGTCAGCCTGACGATTACACCATAAAAACCGTCAGCAGACGGGCCCACGTTCAACGCCGTCAGAAATCAAACAGTTAGAGGACGCCGTTCTACGACTGAGCGGGCGGTTTGAAAATGTCAGCGACAAGAAAACAATATTTTATTTTATGAACATGAACGATTTAAAGACTTTAAAACCGGCACAGTTTAGTTCATATTTATCTGCATGAAAACTTCAATTCTGTGACTTTAATGAGCTGAGGTTTTAAAACTTTTCCACTCTGGTATCTGGACTTATTCCTGATCATCTCCTCCCACCAGAAAACCAAGAGAAAACCACCAGAAAACCACGAGTCCACTCGACACGACACAGCCTCCAGTCATGAAGATGAAGCTGATGCAGAAGTTACTCCTCTGTTTGTCTGTTCATTGTCTTCTTCACCACCTTCACTGTCAACATACAGACTGAACCTCCAGCGTCTGTGTCGTCTTCATTTTTAAGGTCGTGCACAATCAACCCACTAAACAAACTCTGACCTTCAACCTCCACCTTCATCCTGATCGTCTCCTAAAAGGTCGTATCCTCCGATCGTAGCTGATCGTAACCATTCAAGTTAACGTGTCAATTTACACCGACTTCTTTACGTTCCTCTGCGGAGAGTTCTACTTTTTTCGGATGCTGGATAAATTCAGCACAGATTAACCCGCGAGTCTTACTGTCACAGATCTACAGCCGAGTCTGAACGGATTTTAGTCTTAAAGTCGGGACAGATTTCCCCGAAAGAAAGAGAGTCAGAAATCACATCAGACTTTATCAGACTTCTACGATTTCTGAATCTTCATGGAAAGAACAACTGGACTTCCTTGAGTTGTTCTTAAGTGTTAGATTTTGATCCATCAGATCTCAGGACAGTTACGGACAAGTCATATTACCCCCGATTTCCACCGCATCCTGAACATCTACGAAAAAGTCGTATCCGCCGAGGAGCATGGCGGAGAAATCCTCCTCTGGAAGGACACAATCTACTGCTTATATGTCTATGTGTCTGTCTTTACAGAGACAACTCGTTATCGGGCGATTGAACGTGAATCTGCGGGTTCTTGTGAGTTCTCGCGATTCCCGCTGTCCGTAATCCACCACAAAATTCGCCTCACAAACGGATCCAGTAGGATTTAGCGGACAGTAAAAATTTCCGCCGTTCTGTATATGGTGAAAATTGGGGGTGAGGATGTATGGTAGCCATCATGTTTTCACAGAGCCAAAGTGGATCTTCAGACCTGTCCTCCTGTCGCCTCCCTCTGGAGGGATTTTGTCTCCTGGAGTTCAGAGTAGTAACTCGAGTGTGACATGGATCCTTTAACAAACACAGTAGCTGAAAGTGACACCACGACATGTGACCTACACTTCCTTAAAATGAGGGCGGCTCGCCATCTGCGGAGGTCAAGCTGTGGGATGATCCTGCAGAGTCGCTGAGACCTTGTTGTGGATTCACTGTGAGTCTTAAATCCACCTGGAAACCTCAGACTGACCCTCTCCTGATCTGCTGCTGCTGCTGCAGAACTCTGATCTCAGTTTTGACCTCTGACCCGACGACAGACGGAGAAGCTAAAATCTCTCCATGTTAAAAAAGGACGCTCTTAAATCTCGCCGTTATGTATGTCGCTGTTTCTTGGCTGTGACTTCCTGGAGTCTCTCCACTTGTTGCCTGGTGACAACCCTGCGAGTTTAGCAGCTGAATGTAGTTTCATATTTCACATCTAGAAATAGTGTGAACGCAGCGAGAGCGAGACATGTCGTCCTTAAAATAATAAACCGTGTCTGAGTTTAAAGAAAACAACGACACTTCCTCCTCGCTCTCATACACGCCGAGGCCAGTGGACTTTGGGGTCATAAATGTGAGAAACAGGAGAGAGAGAGACGTGTTTGTGACAGACAGACACCAGCTGTGACAGAGATTACCCATAAGCCCCTGTGCTCCTGTGTGAGTGTAAGACATACACCGACTAATCAATAGTAATCAGTGAAACAGCTTATTAAGAAAGCTGGCATGAGGAGCGCTCCTTCTAATATCTGCTGGGAGACGAGACGTGTGCAGAACGGCGCCTCGCCTCACATGTTATTACACACCTAATCAACTCTTCTTTAAAGACTTTCAGCCTCTGTAACGACGTTTGACCAGCGGGGACGGGGACATGTGTATCATGAACACCTCCAGAATAAGAAACAGGACACAGACTCGTTTTTCCGTGAAGGTCCAGGACCCTCAGGCTCAGTCCTGATCAGCTCCTCCGGTCCGCCGCTCTGAAAACCAGCTTTAATGACATTTTTCTGCCTCCAGCTCTCCGCTTTTTGCAGGATTCATTCCTGAAACCATTGTTGAGGACGGTTTATGTAACACATTACGCACAGTTCATAATCGTATCTGACGATGACCTTTAAACACAAAACGGCGCCTCAGACTCCTCAATAATACAGTTGAACCTTGGTACACAGATAGCATGTTGCAGCAGGATTATTGCCTCCTCTTTATCTAGAAGACGACAGGCGTTCAAACCGATGGGAGGGGCTCGAATTCAGGACTCCAGGAAGTGTAAGAAGTGTCCGTGAACCGCAGGAGAGTCTGCGGCACGGGTCTGTTTCTATTTACTAAAGCTCCATCTCTGCCAGGCAACCAGACTGACTCATCGTGATTCTGAACTACAGGAGCGCAGTCATGTATCTGTGTGAGTCAATACTCTTCAAATATCACCGTGCACTTTAAAAGAAGACACACGCATGACGGACCAGCCAATCAGACGCACGATTACTCAGGAGAAATGTGGAATACAGGCGCTGAGAAATACCAACAGGCCTCAACAGTTTCCAGGTGGGATCAGAAACATGATCCGAGTTTCTACCGTCCAAAAACAAGTCTGCTTTCTCAGAGTATGAGCACACAACAGGTGGAGGAACAACGAAGAGACGCCTTTAAAAAAGTCAAATCAATAACTGACAAGAACTTCAATTTCAAGATTTCCTCAAACAATCTAAAAATCACTCATCGCTCTTTAAGAGTCACGTTGACCCGCCGAGTTCAGAGGAAAATGACGATGATACAAACCAGTGAAAAACTCTAACGGTCGCCAGGAAACACACTAACCAGCGGTTATCCCTGCACATGTGCAGTACGAACACCAGTTACCGTTCTGTCGTTGGCCGTCGACACAAAAATAAGAAAAACTCTGTTTACATGAGAGTAAAATAAGTCAAAATACGAGAAAAAAACATCTTTAAAAACCTCCCTGAGTGTGGACTGAGCCTTTTATTTGGGATTTTATAAAAACACTGAATTAAAGTTTCGTCGCAGGTTTTTAAATGTTCTTATTATTTAGTTATTATAATCTGACTGGGGTTCTGATGGAAAACAGACAAACACTTAAAAGATTTCAGTTTTTCAGAGTTGAAGTCATAAATCTGATCAGATTATTCCACATATAAATCATATTAGAGATTCATATTTGAGTGATTTCCTCTGGGAAGTGTTTGACTCGCCTCAGATTTACAGAAAGTTGTTTTAAAGGGTTAAATCTTAAGGATTAAATAATATTGATGTGTGTTTTTATTGCTTAACTCTGTACAGCGTCTTTGTGTTTTTGAAAAGCGCTTTACAAATAAAATGTATTATTATTATTATTATTAAATCTGTCAGATCTGAGCAGGAGAGACTGAGATTATTCTTTGACAGTCTTCAGACACAGTCTTCAGGTTCTCGGATAGAAACGTGAATCAGACATAAAATCCACGTCAGTAAACTCGAGGTCACAGACACACTAAAGATTCACCGATAGAAAAACTGCGAGATAAAAACGATCGACCTCAGCGCAGCGATGCGATTGAAAACGAGATCATTTGTTGGTCTGAAAATAGAAAAGTGAAGTTGCTGCGACCTCTCGGCCCAGCAGGCCTGCAGCCCCCCAGGAGGGGAGCGGAGGGGAGGGGAGGGGGCCTTCGTCTATTTCTGTTGATTAGATCGCCTCAGAGGACGGCAGCTGCTCTCTGCAGATACCAACCACAACACGCCGAGCGGGATCATACGGCGCACACACTCACAACACACAAGCACATTTACTCCCCTGATAGACCGAGTCTCCAGCTGGTCCGGTCCCACCTCACCACACTCCTCTGTGTGGGTAAAACACAACAAGCAACAAGCAGCACGACCAGAACCACCGAGGAGAAACTGGAGCAACGCAACGAGGAGGATCAGACGAGGTTTCTGAGCTGAGGGAGGAGAATTTACAGCAGTGACAGTAAAAGTACACAGAATATCCAAGGATACCCCAAAATACCCCAGGATAACCAAGGATGCCCCGGAATATGCCAAAATACCCATGATATCCTAAATACTCAGTATACCCCAGGATACGCCTGAGTACTCAGGATAGCCCAGAATACCCAGGACACCCCAGTATACCCCAGAATGATGAGGATACCCCAGAATACCCCAGAATATCGGAAATACCCCAGAATACACCAGAATACACCAGAATACCCAGAATACCCAGAAGACCCAGGACACCCAAAAATACCCAGGATAATCCAGAATACACCAGAATACCGAGGACACCCAAGAATGCCCCAAAAAACGCCAGAATACTCGAGGATACCAGGAATACCCAAGAATACCCCAGATTACTCAGAATTCCCAGATTCCCCATAATACCCCAGGAAACCCTAGTATACCCCACAATACCCCAGAATACCCAGGATACCCTAAAATACACAGAATACCCCAGTATACCCAAGAATACCCTAGGTCCCAGGATCCTCCAGAATCCCTAAAATACCCAAGAATACCCAGGATTCCCCAGAATACTCAGAATACCCAGGATACTCCAGGATACCCATATTACCTAGGATACCCCAGAATACTTAGAATACCTCAGAATACCCAGGATGGACAGAGACTTAGAAAAAATATAGGTCTGCAGACACCCGCCTTCATTCCCACACACGTGAACATCTACATGCCATTACTGATCAGAGGTGGAAAAACTGCAGTTCCTAAAGTGTCCACTTGAGGCTGGTCCCAAAAGGCCCCAAATCCTAATTCACTCCTATAATAAAAAGAACATGTTTACAGCAAAAGTAACCATGGTGATAACCATATTCAAACTCATGACTCATCAGTTTTGATCATATTAAGATTAAAACTAAAAGGAACTATGAGGAACTGAACCAGGAGACTCGTCTATCAGACTCTGAGACGCCTTCACATGCTGCTGGTGGAGCAGGAGAATCTCAGTCTACAGTAACTGGAGCTGAAACTCACTGCAGGTAATTTCCAGTTAAAATCAGAGTTTTACAGAGAGGAGGGAAATCTTGTGATTGATTATTCCTCCATGAAAAGTCAAACAGGAGCTCCAGAACCTGACGGTGTTAGAGGATTTCTCCAACAAAGGCTGGAGGCAGTTTTCTGGTTTTTAACTTCGGTTGAGCTTTTCAAAGATCTCCCGATAATGATGGAGCGACGTCCTGAGACCGAGGAGAGAATCATCTGAATGTAAACTGTGAGTGATTGGAGCGAACTGAGCACGTGTGAAAAGTTCACCTCCATCAGGTGTGACACTCAGACAGAGCCGTGCTTCATACTCCGTGTCACAGTGAGAAAATTAGCGACTTCTGTCTGCTGGTATTGATTTACTGATTGACTTATGGCTCTGTGTGTTAGGAGCTCCCTGCAGCTCTGGGACCAATCTCCACCCATCACACATCAAAACCTGGTTTGCTGCAGGATTTCAGCCCCCCTCAGTGAGCTCCCATCACACCTCCTCTTCATCTGTCGGGCTTCACATGTTGTTAGTCTGCAGTGTTTGACACCTGAGGGCTCACACACCGAGTGTTTACACCAACTCCTATCCTAGGCCAGACCGGGCGCAGCTCTCTGCCAGCTCTGCACATTCCCCGAGTTCGAACCATGTGATCCTGAGCAGCTTTAATTACTGGAAACGGCTCATCAGCGAGCAGCCAGAGCACTCAGATGTCCCCTTATGCAAGATATCTCACAGCTCAGATCTGCTAATGGTTAATCTTAGATGTCGCAGATGCTAAGTTAAGTGGGCCTCCGTGTAAGAGTGCGCAGTCAAACAGGCCTGTGGGTGTGCTGTGTGAAGGCGCCATCACACTGTGTGTGTTTTCAGCACCATGTACCCCAGAGCTGATTAGCCTCAACGATTTAATTTTGAGAATAATTCCCTACATGGGGACAGTCTGTGATTTCTTTTATGTAAACCCTCCACGGCTCGGCGAATCAGCTCACTGCAGGGTGACGTTTGGGCAAACGAGAGTGACGGTTTGGAGACAGAAGAAGAGGGGAGAGGAGCATCCGACGATAGAAACAAAACAACATGATACCATACCATATGTTACAATACAATACAATACAGGGCTGGGACGATATACTTTTCTCTCGATTCGATTCTTCTATGATTTTTTGGATGCCAATTCGATATAAACTGCGATTCTACGATATTGTCGATTTTCTCGATTTTTAGTCTGCATGTTTAACACCAGTGAAACAGTTGAATGATTATGATTTTCTAATGACTATTCCAGGAACCATATTTCCCTAAAAAATACACATCACATGTACGTCAGTTTTTAAGATTTATTCTTAAATTTGAAAAAAAAAATCTATTTTTTAACATAAAAATCGATTTAAAAATTGTGAAACAAAAAAATCGCAATACTTATGTGAATCGATTTTTCCTCCCACTTCTAATACGATACGATACGATGAATTGTCTCTCTGGGGAAACTCGTCCTAATTCAAAGTGCTTTACATGAACAGCTGCCCTCAAAACAAACACGTCAGTATTAAAAACAACAATAAGCCTCATGTAGAAAAGAGAAAAACAGGGTGGTGCATGTCTCGCCATCTTGGTTGTGGGTCTGTAAATCTTTTAGCTATTTAAGTCACGGGAGGCCGAGTTCAACCACTTTCCACTAGGGGGCAGAACTGAAAACTTAGATGAGTTGGTACTGGAATAACGCTGTGTTCCAGTTGTACTCGGAAGTCGTGATTTCCGAGCTCCGAGTCGGAAATTCATCTGGAAAGCGCCCCTGAAGTCGGATTTCCAACTCGTAAAGTTGGACGACCCTCACCAACCTCGACTTGACAACAACATCATCATTAGAGAGTAACAGTGAAAGATTTCATAATGTTTTAATAATTAGCTCTTCTGTTTTGTTTTTGTGAAATTAAATAAGTGGTTTATGTTGTACTGCACGACGTCTAACTGTGAACACAGGGCGTTGTTTACATCTGGTATCGCTAACAACGGCTAACAATGGCTAACATGGCTAACAATAGCAAACGACAGCTGACAATTGGAAAACAACGGGTAACTGTAGGCGTCCATCTTGGTTTTCTGACTTGTTTACTGGATCGCCGTCAACTCGGATGTAACGTCATTCCCAGTTCTGACATCTGACCTCCAAGGTAACCAGAACGCAGCATAACTACACATCTGCGGAGAAACTGCACATTGCAGACAGACCTCTTTCCCCTCTAAGAGATCCTTAAAAAACCCGACTGTGTCTGGATCAACTTTGATTCTGAGGAGGGGACATTATGGCGTCAGATTAAGACAGAACTGAGATCTGTGCAAAACTCTAATAATGGGGAAGCATTAATATCAGTATCAGCAGATGTCAGCTTTAGGAAAGAGTCAGAAACAGAGAAAACAACAACACTACTTTAACAGAACCGATGGCAGCGACGACCCGAAGGTAAAGAGCTCGACGAGGAAATCCCCGAACCTGCTGCGGCTCTTTATTACCAACATTTCAGGGGAAACTGTGTCAGCTTCTGCAGGATAATGATGTTCTCCAGATGGAATCTGTTTCACCTCAGCCAAATGAGTCTGAAAATACTGTCATTTTAAATATAAGCATCAATCCGACATCATGCACCACTGTGTGTGTGTGTGTGTGTGTGTGTGTGTGTGTGTGTGTGTGTGTGTGTGTGTGTGTGTGTGTGTGTGTGTGTGAAAACAGCTTAAATGTGAAATTATTCAACCTGGTTCCTCCACAAAGCGTTAACAAGCTCCTCAGAAGAAATGACAAGAATGAGGCTGTGAGGCAGGACTGAGGCGTGTGTGTGTGTGTGTGTGTGTGTGTGTGTGTGTGTGTACGCTGCAGATCGTATCAGCCCAGTGAACAGAGGAGCTGCTGAGAGATAATTAATGAGGGACAAATGAATGGGAGTGCTGTTTGTTCCCAGTTTAGCCAGTTAACCAGTACAGCAGATGGGAGAGGAGCTGATGCAGAAGCATGTCGGCCATTTTTACCGACATCAGACCCTCTTCTCTGCGTATGTTCTAATGCACACGTCTGTTTAATATTGCATGCTGACTGCAGAGTGTGTCAGCGGGCTGCAGGACCTGCAGGTCCGCCGTGACTCTGCACTAAAGTGATTAACATTTATGGCAGAATCGAAGAGGATCTGGTCATCTCTCCACATTCCCTTATCGCCCTCGCCCCATTCTTCTTCCTGTCTCGCTCATTCACCCTCCTTGCATCACTCTCTCACTCGTAGTGAAAGGCAGTCAGCCCCGGGGAGATGGAGAGGAGGGGGGAGGAGGGGCGATGGTGGCGAGCGGGGGGGGGAGGCTGCAGGCAATCACTGGGCACCGCGAGGAGAGATGGAGAAAGCGAGATAGGAGAGAGGAAGAGGAAGGCCAAATGAAATTTCCAACACATTAGGCACACCCTGTTACCCAGGGCCTGCACACAGTGCAGCGGGAGAGAGGGGTGAGGGGCCGCTAAGGGTCCGCAGGGTGACCGCCGTCCAATAAGAGTCCTTTACAACTAAAGAGAACCGATCCAGGGACAGAGAGGGGTTCCCCTGGACCAGAGCAGACCAATAAAGACAGAGGATCAAGGAGACATCGTCTGTCCAGGTGAGGCGGCGGGACGTGAAGGACGCAAACTAACCACATCATAATCACGGCCACATATGGCGGGATCACCTCTCTGAAGGACGCGACCATCTGCAGGTGGGAGAGGAGGAGGAGGGGGGGGAGTACATCAGAGCTCCAGATGAACCTGATCTCTACGGTTTCTTCACACCGACATTATCAGAGATTTTATTTAACAATGATGTTTTATTTACACTCACAGTTTCAGTCCTTTATTCTTAGATAAGCACAACAAATAAGAAAGATTTTTTTTTATTTCTAGCATGAGGATTTTAAAAAGACTTCAATCTGCCGTTTACTAAAATGATTTATTGATCCATTTCACACATTTACAGGACTGATAAACTGTCAACGCTCAGAGTCCGTCCCTGTTTTTACCTCAGACCTCGTCTCCTGGATGCAGGTGGACCATGTCCTGTTGTGGTTTATGGATCTGCACTGAGAAGCTGGGGTGTTAGCTCTGCTGGTGTTAGCCACACTTGGACCCACAGATCTGTGATCCTTTTTAACATCTATCATGTTCAGTCCTGATCATATTTTGTTTTTTTTCTTCCTTGAACCTTAAACTCACATTTCTGGGGTTCAGTCGCCTCGCTCATATTTATGTCCTCTGTTGTTTTAGGTCAGAGTCTCTTTACTGTTGATTTCTCTCTAAATCAAACTGACCTATTAATAAAAACTCAGACCAAACCTCAATAAATCAATAAATCAGCTCCACCGTATCAATCAGTGTCTCTCTCTCTGTGAAGCTCTCAGGCTGACACAGATTCAGGTTCTCCTTTTGGACCGGCTGCATGTTCTGGATTTTCTGGACCACTTTATTTTCGTCTGTCTGACTTTGAGGCGGCAGAATAAATCTTTTATTTTAACGGGGCGAGAAAAACAGAAGCTCACGATCATTTCCTCTCAGTGTAGAAATGGAGCAGATAGTATAGATGCACCGATCTGCTTTTTTTAACCTCCGACACCAACACAGAAATCTACAGTTTAGTATCGGCCGATAAGTTTTAGCCCCGCCCCTCAGAACGTTTACGGCGCAGGTATTGCAGGTGGCGGTCGAGCTCGTAGGCTGAAATATCGTGATAAAGTTAAGATAGCCGACCTCTTTGCTCGCTCCATTTTCAAAACAATGTGGGCGTCCGCTCAGCGTGTTTAGTTGTGGATGCCGCTCACGGTGCACAGCATAGAGTTAGACTGAATAGATCGGCCCCTGTGCATCGGGCCCATTGTCACCGATACTGATACCAAATATCGGATCAATGCATCCCTAGCAGATAGAGCCGTTTATTTTTTTTAAGGCTAGCTTCAGATTAGAAATTTTAATTAGAAGTTTAATAATCAGAAATGTGCTGGTGTCTGTCTGTCTGTCTGTCTGTCTGTCTGTCTGTCTGTCTGTCTGTCTGTGCAGGTGGCACAGGTGTGCAGATGTGTTGTGAATCCAGCAGAGCCACGCTGCAGGTTTCCTACGAGCATCATGAAGCAGACAGAGTGGGAGAGGTCTGCGCGGTCAGCATCTGACTGAGCCATTTATCAGCCGAGAAACACGCTCCGCACACTCCCCCTCACACTCATGATGCAAACACGCTCTGCTCCTCCGCCAATTATTCTCTGTTAACATGGAAGACACACATATGCATGAACAGGGTCAGGGAGGCGGAGCGAGCAGAGAGCGAGCTTGACAGCTTAGCGTCTCTGCTGCGGCGGAGATGAATGGGCGGGCCGCAAACTGCCTTCATTCATAATGGAGCACGACGACAAAGCAGCTCCATCCCCAGGTGTCCCGGAGACTATATGAGCCGGAGAGAAAAAACCCTCCATCTGACACCGAAATGTTGATCTGATCGACTTCCTCGAGTGTTTCCAAAGAGAGAAACAGAAGAAACAGAAACACCCGAACACTGCTGCTGGTGTTGGAGAGCCAGGATGGCCTGAAAACGTCAGAACAAAGATCTGCTGTTTCATCCTCCGATTAGAGGACGGCCTTCAGGAGAGAGAGAGAGAGAGAGAGAGAGAGGCATGCATGCATGTATGGACTGAGCTGTTTGCTTTGTGTCCTACAAGAGACACATCCTGCAAGCCAATAGCAGTGAGGCTAATGATCAGCGGCACAGAGAGAAGCGTGGGCGTGAGGGGGAGGAAGCTCCGGCACGTGAGGAGGAGAGAGAAAAATCTGTCTGAGAGAGTTTCTCTGCAGGACTGTGTGTGTGTGTGTGTGTGTGTAATTATTACAAAGCACTCATTCTGAGCTACTGTGAAACCACAAATAGCGAGAACCACCTACTGACACACCAGGGTATGAATAGCCGTGTTAAATGAGAACACAGGAATAGAAAAGATTTACAGTCGTGTGAGTGGAGCAGTCAGGATCAGCTCTCACTGTTTACATCATTAGGAGGAAAACCGAGACGCGCCGCCAAACCGCCTACAGACTGTAGATTAACTATGATATGGCTCACACTCAGGATTGGTCAACAGCCAGACCAGGAAACAAAAAACAAAGATATGAAGGTTTTAATCTGAATCCAGGACTGAGTTTAGACGGACTCCAGTCACCAAAGCTGGGACCTTCAGAGGACACACCCACAGCTCCATCTCTCTCTCTCTCACCTTTACTGCTGTGGTCCTGTTTGGAGAGTTCATTTACAGTGATCCAGATTTTAAAGGAGGGGGGGTTCAGGAGGTTCCAAACTGGATCTCTGAACCTCCCCTTCTCTGGATTATCTGAGCTGATCATCGACACGTCTGCAGGCTTTACACCGAGGAGATCATACCTGCGGTGAGGTTTCCTGGCCCCCCCTGACAAAGACTCTGGAGGGTACCTTCACTGCAGCACGGCTTCAACATGAGCCTGGACTGTAACTCTAGATCCATCAGTGTTTCATGAGGCTGTCACTGCTGCCTGAGGCCCCTATAGGATCCGTCTAACCGGTTTGACTCAGGACAAGCGTCTTTACATAGGAGGAGGTTTAAAGAGGGTCACAGGGAGGATCATAAAAGGCCTTTATTACTGACATCCAACCTTCAAACACACACATGAGAGGATAACCAAATTCAGTATCAACCACACACACAGACGGCCGACCAGAACCAGAATAAATGCAAATGTTTCAGCGCCGACTTCACCTATCTGTGGAGCTCATCAAACTGCTTTAAGTCTGTGATTGTCGGCTGTGAAATTCAAACCATGGTGTCATAAATAAACCTCCGAGGCGACACGGGTGACATTCCTCCACTGACCTGAATGTTTTCAACCTCCAACTACCTCTGCAGCAGCAGGGAGTGAAACGACGTCTGTCTGTCACAGGTCACAGAAAAAGGTTCGGAGGGAGAGTCCTCTCTGTGTAAAACTACGGGGACAAAAGACACCTATTTATTTACACTTAGGAATAAAAGACAAAATGACTGCAGAGAGTATTTTATCTGATAACTGTAGATAATAATATATACGATATTTCCCGACACACACTCATCTTAACCAGAAACTAGTTAGAGATGAATTTTAAACTAATCCATGAAGAGTTACAGATTTTAGGTGATGCTTAAGATTTCTAAATAAGAGTGTAACACTAACCTGCATTACTCTACAGATCATATCAGAATCTGGATTAAAACACTGACAGCTGACTGTTTCAGATTTGATATCATGTTAAAGGGCGATGAAAAAAAAAACAGAAAAGGTGACAGCGATAGATGATGCTCGATCAATCTGACTACCTATTAATCAGGACAAAGAGACAAAGGGTCAGAATTATACTGACTTTAGTCTTAGAATCCAAACTTCAGTCTTTGAATTCCAGGATCAAAGCCAGAATTCCAGGATCAAAGCCAGAATTCCAGGATCAAAGCCAGAATTCCAGGATCAAAGCCAGAATTCCAGGATCAAAGCCAGATTCTACAGACTTTAATCTTAGAATTCAGACGTTCTGTTGAGTATTCTGTAACAGCTGTAACTTGTTACTTTCTTACTTCTTGTCAGATTAAACAGCACTCATTGTTCCTGGTTTATAAGCAGGGATTGCGTAGCTCACCCAGGGGGATACGCTGTTTGAGCCGAGCGTCATCACAGCGACTATCGGCGACTCATCCGCCAAATACATACAACGCTACTGCGCAAGTGGTGAAGTGCGTGCAACACGACTGTGCAATTTTAGTTTTAGGAAGTGGAAAAAAAAGGCAGAAATACTGAGAGCTTTTCGGCTTCAAATCTGTGTACAGATGGGAGGCGGAACCAAGTCGTCCAGAGTAAATACAGTCTTTAGGGTCTGTTCTCTAAACCAACACGGATTAGTGAGGTACATCCTCAAAATGGTGAATAAACTGGCAGTAGATCCTCAACGGTAGGAAGTGTCCCAAATCTCTACAAGCAAAATGGAGTGAAGATTTTCATTCATTCATTCATTCATTCATTCATTCATTCATTCAGTCAGTCATCCACTGCAGCAGGAGCATGAGGAAGTGTCCACGCTGACCTGCAGAAACAGCGTCCTCCTTAAAAGCTCCTCTGTACGATATTATTTATGCAAACTCAACACTTTGTGCTGCTGCTTCCATCCTGCAGGAACTTCATCTTCAAACCTTCATTTCACTTCAACTCTGAGACAGAAACACGTTTTAGATGTTTGTTCAGTCACCGTACACCAATGAACAATACTGATCAGTCTCCAGAAATCAGCTTTTGTTTTTCATCACCATCTTTGACCATTACACACCATGACACTGTGGCACTTTTCCTCCAATTTCACCTCACTTACACTCAGCAGGTAGACGGCTAAACGGTGAAATGGGCACCAGGGTTGTTACTAAGACTGATGAGACTGCCTGCAGTGTCTGCAGACTGGATCAGTCTCAGGAATCAGCCGAGTTAACATCCGTCTGTGATCTCCTGTCTGACTCTGACCTTGATGGTGCAGATTTATCACGACCATATCAGAACTACAACACTCCTCTAATCTGCTCTCTCTTCATGAAGCACAGACTCGTATCTTAGTGGGTTTTTTTTGTGAGCTGTGGAGCCCTGCAGCCTTTCTTTCTTTCTTCTGATCAATGAATCCCAGTCTGTTTGTTTGAAGCTCTGAGTGAACAGACTTGCTGAACCTGACCGTCTCTGACACTCCCACTGCCTTAGACACACTAACTGTACTCTGCTGCGTAGGAGGATGTGAGTTCAGCGCCGAGCAAAGAAAGACAAATCAGGAGAACTAAACAGCAATGAGGCAACAGACTGCAGAATGAGGCCTCCTGCGTTCTCCCTCGAGGGTTCTCCTGATAAAATAATAGCAGAAAATGAGGAGCAGCAGACTCTCCTCAAACTGTGTTTGACAGAATCCGGGTTTATATTCAATTTTGCATCAAAGGAAGCATTAATTTGAAGGATAGCCTCACAGGCGATTCAATAATTCAAGATGGGAATGAAAAGTGCGGCGGCGGCGGCGGCCTGCTCATCCTAGCGTTACATTTATTCCAAAGAGCCGACCGAACGGAAGGAAGTGAAGAGCTGGAGCTGGAGCCAGAACGCCGAGTCGTGATGAAGGCTTTCTACTGAGAAGAAGTCTGCACCGAGAAATGTTTTACTGGACGTGGAGAACAGAGAGGCGAAGAGAGGAGGAGGAGGAGGAGGAGGAGGAGGAGACAATAAACGGATAACCTTCGATTCTCTCCTGGAAAAAAGGGGCATTTACAGCGTGCAAAGTGTTTCCCAGGCAACAGCAGCATCAGGACCTTTTAAAAGCTCCAGGAACCTGCAGAGTGTTCGCTTCTCTGTGCAAAAACACGCCTCTGTCGGCTCATGCACTTTGCAGCCTTGATTACTGCCAAGAAGAGCTTTCAGGTCCGTCTGACGCAGGTGTGAAAAGATCTGGATTTACTAAACTCTGCACCTCCTTCCTTCAGAGACGCTGCCAGAGGCTCAGAACAACAAAAACTCTGAAACTGTTTCTGTTTCCTGAAAAAGGAGGAACTCCTCTCCTCACCACTAACTCACACACTTCCTCCCCCCTCCTGTTTCCTGTTTGCCTCCCCTCCAGTTCACGTCCAGGTTGGGATGTCCCCGAGGTTTTCCTCAGGACCCGGGTCAGAGAGGTCCATCACTGATCCTCTCCGCCTCCCTGTAACCTGCTGACTGTCAGGCTGAACGACACTCTCCGTGTTTCTATGCAGCTGATTGGAGGAAAATCTCAGTAACCTTTCTCTGACAGGCCGATAATCGTCCTCTCTGAGTGTAACGGGGCGGTAATGGAGCTCCGCTGCTGGGCCTGCAGACGACCACAGAGGAGGAGACACAAATACCAGAGTCAGAGATGTTTGCATCAGGCCAGTTTTTCCACATAAAGACTGAACGCAGTTAAAGTCCTGGACTCGACTGAGGGGGGAACGATGCAACGCTCTCTGAAGGACGGAAAACGCCAAAACTCTGCAGCATGACGGAGGAAAAATAAACAAAAAGTTCAACTAAAGTGGACTAAAAATCAGGGATTCACAGAGTCTGATTTCTTATTTACAATCTACCTTCACAGGAGACTGTCCTTCCAGAGGGTTAGGGTGTAAATCGACACGTTAACTTGAATGGTTACGATCAGCTACAATCGGAGGATACGACCTTTTAGGAGACGATCAAGATGAAGGTGGAGATCGGGGGTTAGGTTAATATGATAATCGGAGGAGAACAGGTAGAAACCTCGAGCAGAACCAGACTCATGTCAGGCAGAGCAGATCTGGGTTTAGAGAGAAGAACTGTCTCAGTTTATAAAGGATGATCTGAGTTATGAAGTATGTTGTAATAGTTCTCTTGGAAAAAGCACAAATCAAATGTCAGAGCTGAGTCAACAGCCTCACCCACTCTGGGATCAATCCCTCTGAGACAACAACAGTTTGACTTTAGCACACACAGACAGCTGAAGCAGAAACATTCAGATCCTCTCATAACAAACTCTGGACATGTGGCCCTCTTTATAGACGAGCGACAGCGTTCACTTACAGGAAGACACGCTCACATGCTTCCTGCAGACCGCCAGCAGGTCATGAGATCCCACCAGAGCTGTGACGCTCTCAGACCGCTCTGATTAAACACAAACCCAGCCTGTCAACAGCAGCTCTTTGCATGCAGGAGAGGAAGCAGCAGCAGCAGCAGCGCTGTGTTTGCTTTGCATACCGTCTGTCTGTGTGTGTGTGTGTGTGTGAAGTGTCACAGGAGGAGGAGGAGGTGGAACTTCATCAGAGTTTGCAGCAGCATGTTTCTGTGCTAAAAGAAGATTCTGCTGCAGTATGACTCCTGCAGAAAAAAAACACAGCAACAAGACTTTTTTAATTTGCTGCTCCACACTGCCATGGCAACACTTTCCCCACCGCTGGAAAAGGAGTGTAAATACTTTTAGCTGAACCAGCCCGAAAGTCTGTCCTCCACCGCTTCTCTCTGATCATAAAACCCACGCCAGATGAAGACAGAGTCTCGATGGAAATGCATTCCTCTCTCCACCAGCTCCTGTCTCCTATTTATAGCCCAGCGGAGCACCAGCTCGCTGGCGAAGGATGAGTAAGAGCATGGTGAGAAATGGAAATGTCTAGTATCTCCACGTCTCCACGCTGCCCGTCTTTTAGCTCACAGCTTCATTTCAAATCAAAGCCTTCAAACCGGCGCGCTCACAAACTGCTGACAAACAATCCCCAGCGACACAACACAGGCAGGTTTCATGTGTGTGAAGCTGTGAGCAGTGTGTGTGTGTGTGTGTGTGTGTGCGTTTCAAGCTGATGTGAGGCCTGCTGGGTGTGTTCACACACACACACATTTATGCCAGACAGCAGCGTGAAGATGGTGGGCGGCCGGGGCATCCTTGACCTTCACAGGCAGAAGGTCACGGGACTTTGTGGTCGGCTGCTTTCTGACCTCCGTGTGCGGAATAAATTTGAGACAAACCAACAGAGTTTCAGGGTCACCTGCGTCTTCCTCAACATCAGTCTGAAAAAGGTGATGAAGAACAGATTGATGTGAACAAAGGTCTGAGTCAGAGGCTCTAAACCGACAGAGAGAGAGAGACGAGCGACCACGACACAGAGCTTCCCTTAAACCACAGCTGATAAATAAATTTAAACGATATCAGAGAGTGACGGCAGACCAGGACGACAAAGACCAAAAATATACATATATAAAATTAATACAGCATAATGAAATGAAAATTATAAAAAATATAAATTAATATTATTTAAGTCACAATAATACATGAAAAAATAAAAGGAAAGTACAGTTTGTTCAATGAAATAAACAAAAAATTAATACCAAAACATTAATAACTATAATAATAATAATGTAAAAATATTGAAATATTTAACATTGGGGAATAACATAAGCAATAAAAGATAAAATATTAAATAATATATAACTATACTTTAACTATAAAACTGCTGGAAGTTTTTCTTGTTATAAAAAAAAATAATAATATTCATTATAATAATAATAAAAGATAAAAAATACTTAATTTATTTAAAATTTTTGAACAAACATACATTAATAGTTTAGTTCAAAACAAAATAACTTTTATAATAACATAAAAACAATTTAAAAAAATGAAAATTTATCACAAAATAAAATTTCTTTTGAATAAAAAAACAAGAAAATGCTGAAATCAGTCATAATCCTCTTAAAGAAATATCTCTTAACTTCATAAATACTGTTTTTTTTTCCTGCTCTGGATTAAAGACTTTTACTTCGCTGAATTTCGACTCTGAAAACAAACTCGGATCATCTGAGGCGCTGTGAAATCTGAGAAATCAGAATCTGATGGTTACAAATCAAATCTGTGAGAAAATTACAAATACTGTTTAAATTATATATATATATATATATATATATGCTTTATTTGAATACAATGAAGTGAATTCTGTAAACTATTGTCATATTAAAAATAGTAAATAAAGTCCATCGGAAAAGGACAGATACTCCTCACGCAGCCCCTCTTCCTGTACTTGTATACTTGTATTAGCATTAAAGTATTTTAACTGCATGTGTGTTTTTGCTCCACGCTGTGAAGACGAGCTCCTAAACAGCATTTCATTGGCTCAGTGACCGAGGACTCCAATTATGGCTGTCAGCTTTGATTAACAAAGACACTCGCTCTCAATGACCGCTAATGAGCCCGCGAGCCGCCGTCGTTTAATTTAAACACTATCACGCTATTTATAAAGCTGCCCATGCTGTTGTAATTTGATCTCCTTTATTAAATCCATGGAGTCAAACTGCTGAGTCAAAACTTGAGGGTTTCTTATAATCCAAAAAAAAAAAAAACTGAGGAGTCTCGGCCGTCAGAGCGTCACGTCACCGTCTCCATCAACAAAGGATTATTACAGCCCCGCTATTTACATAAGCAATTTACTAACTGCCTGCTTCCTGGAGGTGCCTTTGAGCACAGACCAGATATGATCTATCTCACATCGTCCCCTCCAAGTCCTCACTGACTTTAGGAGAAGACAGAGCTCCACTTTACTGCAGGCTGTGATGGATCGGCCCACTGCCAAGCTGGCCCACAATGATATCATATGCATATTTGTGAGACGGTACCAGTGTGGCATTTATCACCAGAGCTGTTTCCACACTCTTTGTAATGTGTTCAGTGTAATGCAGCGTGTCTCTCTGTGTTCGGTCGCTGTAGTAGAGCTGCTCTGCATCATGCAAATACCAGATTTACATGTTCTTCTGTTTTCAGGCTATTTTCAATCAGCTTCACTAACACTGGAGAGAAATCTTCCTATCTTGAAGTATATGCAGGAAGACCAGGTTCAGACTTGTTGCATCCATGCGTGCAAATCATTTTCAGCCCAAAGCGAAGCTGTTGGTCCTCATTTAACACCGAAATTTCAAGAGTATAGAGGCAAGAACATGAATGTGATATTTGCATCTGCTCTGGAGCGTGCACATTAGTGTCACTGCATTGGCTGGAGTTATAACTGCTGTTAAATGTTTATAAGTGCTCATAAAAGTGTTAGTTTGTCGATACTTTATTCTCCTTTTACTTCACTAGGTGCAGATCACAGCCTCAATCCAATCAGCCTCATTTTTACAGACTTTTGTTCATTTAGTGTCTGTTTGTATGAGGAAAAGCAAATAATCTGATGTTAAATACTACAACATTAACAGCCAAAATTAATCTGTTAATCCCGTCCTTTAATGATGGAGCTTTAAAATACAAAATCTAATAATTAAAACCAGTTTGACAAAACAGCCTGTAAAGATCAAACGAGAACAGACGGTAAAAAAGGAGCAAACAGAAAAACGATCTGTAACAAAACAGGAGTCAGAGTGCTGCTGTACAAGTCCAAGTCATCAAGTCTAAGTTCAAGTCTAAGTCCTTGAGTCTAAGTACAAGTCTAAATTCAAGTCCAAGTCATCAGTCCTTGAATCTAAGTCGTGTCTAAGTCCTCAAGTCCAAGTCATCAAATCTAAGTAAAAGTCTAAGTTCAAGTCCAAGTCATCAGTCCTTGAATCTAAGTCGTGTCTAAGTCATCAAGTCTAAGTACAAGTCGAAGTTATCAGTCCTTATTAGTCCAAGTCATCATTCCTCGAGTCCTGCTACAAGTCAGAGTTGTCAGAGCTCCTATGTCCAAGTCTAAGTCATAAGTGCTACTGTCGAAGCAAGAGTCCAAGACAGTGTTTAGGACCAAGTCCGAGTCACCAGAGTCACTCAAATATTAGTTCAGGTCTGAGTCAATAGTGCCTGAGTCTACATGCAAGTACCTGTCATCAGGACTAAGTCAAAACCAAGTCACAGGTCCTGAAAACCAAGTCTTGATTCAGACCAAGACTCTTCTACGAGTATCTAAGTACCAGTGCTGGGTCCATATCCAGAACCAATCCCAGAGAAGTCTCCACACAGTTCCAACCCCAAAACAGACTCAATGATGCAAAGATTTTAAAACTCTAAACTAATCGCCATACGTTGATTTTCCTCATTAATCTCTGAAACTGGATCTTTTTTTTTTCTTTGTGTAGCTGAAACACACGAGCAGAACCCTGAGGATGTTTATTAGTGAAGTCAGAGCGAGAACCTGAGCAGAACTACAGGACTGAACTAGAACCTCTCCACTTTAATTCAGAGAATCTGGACAGTAATTGGACTTGAGCCGACGGTCGAACAGAAACTGCACAGAGACTGCAGCCCCATCATTTCACCCGGCAACAGCGCCGCAGAGCGAGTTTATTATATTCACTAAATACATGAATATCAAACGTACTATAGATGACTTTACTGCCCTCGTATAAATAACCTCTAAGACGAACCGTCTCCATGTCCGAGGCCAATCAAAGTGCAGAAGAGGAACATTAAAGTGAGACCGTCCTGCTTCTTATAGGTTCTTCACAGTGATATGATAATGCCGCCATATTTCCCAGCCTGGTTACATCCATACAGTGACTCTGTAACAGGATTATCTGCTCCAACCCTGCAGTCCACCGACGTTTTAATAGAACACCATTAAAATCGTGTGTGTGTGTGTGTGTGTGTGTGAGTGAGGGGATGAGGTCTGAAAGTGCTGAGGAGGCAGAAGACGGTTTTAACCCCCACTGCACCCGTCACATATTTGACCCCCCGCCCGTGTCCACATGACCTCGGCTCTCTGAAGCAGCGGCGCTGCGTTCACATGTCTGCGCTCATCGATTCACTCCTGCTGATATAGGAGTTAATTAAAAGAGACACGGCTTAGAGCTCAGAGACCCGTCCCTTTAAAACTGAAAGTTAATGGAGGCAGGTTTCATATTTAAGGGCCCGTCTCCGGATCGGCCCCCCGCTGACCTGATTGACCTGACAGATAAACCCAGCCTGGACGCTCAGCTGGTTCTCACTCCAGAGTACAGGAGAGGAAGTGTGAAGCAGAACCAACCTAGATTCCCCCCTTAACCCTTCGAACTCCCAGATATTTTTTTCTATTTTATTCAATCACAGCAAATATAAACACATATTTTTTTCAGGACAACCTCAGCTGTCAGTTTATGGAGCAAAAATGATGTAAAATAAATGTGACAATAGATTCAGAACCATCGAAGTCAACCAAAACACAAAAACGGAAACTGATCCCAACAGAACTTTGCTCTAAAAACCACATAAATCTACAGTGACCAAACCTTTCCTCACCTGAACATCATTCTCTCACATCTTGGCTGTCAGGAGCAGAAATATTGGGATTGGAACAAACACACAACAGAAACTATTGACATATTTACACCCATTCTTCCAGGTGTTTTTTTACTCTTTACAGTTGTTTCTGCCACTCCTGGGATGAGACAGAGGACCACATCAGACTGCTCACAATCTCTTCTCTGCTTGTTTCCAAACATTGAGGACCATTATTTCTGATTTTGCAGACAAGCAGGGAACCTTCTTGCCTCTTATTGGACACTAAGGACGAAAGTTTGACAGAAAAAGTTGTCATCAAAACAGCTCGTCAAACCTGGGCCCGTATGCACGTTGAAAGCGTTTAGCGTAAACGCGATTAGGGCTTAAACGCGTTTAGTTATACGGGCCTTAAACGCGTTTAGTTCCTATACGATTTTGGTATGCACAATGCTGTAAACGGAACCGTATAGCTAACCGCGTTTACTGTGTCTTAAACGGGTCGAGTGACGCTCGAGTGACGGCTCGACTGACTTTCGACTGATCCACTCCTACCAACTCCCCACACACGTCTTGGAAAGAAGAAGTGGCGTAGTACCGTAAGGTTACGCGGACTTGTTGTAGTGGAGTGAGGGTGAATCCTCGTTTTTGAAAGTTCAATTTCAGCGGAAATCTCCTGTGTGAGGTCGAGAATATGGTGCCGTCGAAATCTAAACTTACGGAACACTTCGTGGTCGTCGTACGTGTCGAAGGGGTGTTTTCTGTCACGAAAAATCCTGTTTCGACGCAATTGTCGCCGCTGTCTTCCTTGGAACAACAAGAGTGCCGCCGTATTTAAACGCGTTTAGACCCGCTATTGGACCCCCAGAGGTGCGATAACTTTAAACGCGAAAATCCGTATAGGAACGGCTATACGAAGTGACGTGCATACCGACATTTTTGGCGTTTAGGAGTTAAACGCGTTTAGCCCGCTAAATGCGTTTTGCCAAGCAACGTGCATACGGCCCCTGGAAGGCATTAGCGGCGTTTAGCGATAGCGATCTTTTCTTATCACAACAATATAATAAATAATCCTGTTTTTCGTCTCTGATCAAACACCTGTTTTTGTGGCTGGATTGTAAACCTTGTGGCAGGTGTAGAAATGTCTGGAAACCCTCGATAGATCACCAAAAGGGTAAACTATTGAACACTTTTTATCCCGTAGAGAAACGCGGAATAGTTCCTGAGAAACTGCGAACAATGTTCATGGTGTCACGTGGGATCGACGGCGATCCAGCAGAGTTCTAAGTGTTAATGTCCCTTTAGGGCCTCCATACTTTGATTTTGTAGGTCATGTAGAGTCGTCAGAATCTGTTTCATAACCCGTTAAAATTTCCTCTCTGTACTTTTAACCAAAGTGTCTCCATGTTGAAATGTGAATTTAGCCTTTCCTCACAGTCGGACCCCCTCACTCCCCCTCAGCACCGTCAGATTACTCTATGTTTGTGTTTTTCTGTCCAGTACAGAGTAAACAGTCCTGAGATCTGATCCTGTCTGTGCCACAGAAACAGGAGAGCAGCAGAGTTGTTTGCAGACCTGGTTCCTGGGGGGACATGTTTGAAAATACGAGTCTGGATGACATTTGAGTATCTGCTAATCGTTACTAATAAAACAAAAGGACATGGAGTCCATCGCTGCACTGAGGTGTGCATCTTTGTCTCCTCCCCCGTGTGCTCTTGTGTCGACCATGGCGCTGCTACAATCTGGGTAATTACAGAGCAAACAAACCGGGCGCCGGGCCGAACGGCGAGTCCTCATTGACTCAGCGATGAGCTCATAGCTGATCAATCTCTGCTCTTGACTCCTGGTTGTGCGTAATGAGGCCGTCTCAAGCAGCACAGGAGCTCATTTCAGGTGGAGAGGAGGCTGGGGGAGTGGAGGGGGACAAACAGAAGTGTGGGGGGTGTGGAGGATTTGAGCGTCTCGTTTCATGACCTTTCAGAGCGCACAACATCCCTGAGCATCTCTGTGAGGCACTCAGTGGTTTCCATCTGACATCTGAGGTGTCAGATCGCTTTATGTGCAAAGGTCTGAAGGTCTGATCCACCTGAACAAGAGCCTGATCCAGGGTGAGAGAGTCAGGACCGACCGACCGGATATCCAAGAGCGTGTTTACATTCTACAGTCATGTTACGCAGCTGCGATAAAATGTGTTTATTGACGGAAAGTCGCAAAATCGCATTGCGCTTGCTGTGTATAGTCAGGCACGTCAAAATTCGCCTACGAATATTGCTTAATTTCGCGTCGTATATTTGCGTCGAGGACCTTTAGAGTTCGGGTTCGAGTTAGCTTACGAGACGGTTCTCCCTGCAGCTTCTCATTAAAGGAGTCGAGCTGAACAACATCCATTATGGCTAAAACACTTTTTTAGAGACTGTAAATCTTTAACGTGAAACAATCAGCAGAGCAGTCAGAGTTCCTGCTTTGTCCACAGGGGGGCGCAAAATTCGACACAAACCCAAAGATCCTCACAGAGCCTTTATCAACCGTCAGTCCGAGGTTTTTTAATGTAACTACAAACACGATGAGTTACTGCAAACAGATAATTACAGTGGTGTCTTACTCTAATTAAAGAGAAAAACATGATAAATATTTAATTATACCAACGAGACGCAGTGATGACCACGAGTATTCGCTGCTTCTCTGAGCGGGAGAGAAACGTTAAAATTTAATAACTTTTTAATTTGAGGTAAAATGACTCTGCGACCCTGACTGCAGGAAGAGTCATTAACTTTTTAAAATAATTAACTATTAAAAAATAAAAACAATATTCTCTTCTCTCCACTGTGTGAAAATGAGACCATGAATCAAACATCTATGTGAGGTAAATGAAACTTTCAGAGGTTTAGTAATGAGGACAGTTTTTACAGTGAGTGTATTTTTATGCAGCTGCGATGTGAGAGCTGTGACCAAAGCGCCGACCACAGAGGGCGAATAAAACAACAAAAAGGCCGAACTAAGAGAGAGAGAAAACGCTCACGCCTCACTAAACCAACATGGAGTCACACACACTCCCAGCAGCCACAGTGACCTTAACACAAGCATGAAGTCACAGCCTTTCAGACATCCTGTTTAACCGTGACCGCCGGGGCCCCCATCCCCCCGGTAACCTTACACCGCTGAGTTTCAGCGCACACTCAAACTCTGAATGCATCACGTCTTTTCAACGCCAAGTGGCTCGTACCCTTAAATCAGGTCCAAAGAGGTGGAACCGACTGGAAGATGCCGAACCCTCCTGCCATTAACCCGGGGCATCGATCCTGCAGGAACTGACTCTGAGTCTGTGCAGCCGCAGCGTTCGGGCAATTAGAGCGCCGTTGCCATGTCTGCGTTTGCATGGGTCCGCTCTGAAAGATTCTGACTGTTCATCTCGAACATCTCCACAGTGGTGCTCACGGTTCGACTTAAACTGCAGCCTCATAACGCAGAATTATCTGCATGCATGCTCTTTAATGGATTACTTATTCCTCCAACTGAGTTTCTAAGTGACTTGTATACATGCATGAATAATTTATGGTGCATCTTTGCTGCTGCTGCACTATCATACCTGAGAGCACGGCGGTATAATCAGGCAGGAGCAGAAAACGATAGAAAGAGGAGCTGCTGCAGTTTGACCCGGTGCAGAGGTATGATGAACAAGAATCTGCATGTAGGAGCAGTTATAACTCTGTTTCATCAGCCCTTCAGTTTGATGTACCTACACCTACACTCAGCTCACACTGTTTACATTTCATCCACATTACAGAGCGTACTTTGTTTACGTTTATTCAAGAAGGGGCATCAACGAGACACGCCGTTGGATTTACTAAACAGGCATCCAGAGGGTTTTCATTCACATTTGATCTGCTGGAAGGGCATCCAGGGGCCCCTTATCGTCACTTATTAGTGAGAGAGGCCCCCAGGTGGTGCTTTATTTACATTCTTTCTACCAGAGGGCCTCTTAGGGGCACTTTTTACACTTCATTACAGATTCCAGAGGGTCTTTAGTTCACTAAAGGAGCATCTGGGGGGAACTCTGTTTACATTTGATTTCATGTGATTTCTACTAAAAAAGGGAACCTGAAGGTGATTTTATGATGTTTTATTTTCCACAAAGCAGCTTTTTTCTCATTATATAGGGTGCAGTTCACTAAGTAGGAGAGCCTGTTTGGATATTCACTATTATAGTTATAATTATAGACCCTCAGGTGGAAATTTATTTACATTTTTTTGACCAGAGTGTCTCTTAGGGGCACTTTTTACACTTCATTAAAGCATCTAGAGGGTCCTTTGTTCACTGAAGGAGCCTCTAGGGGGCACTTTGTTGAAATATATCTACTTAAAAACATCTATACGGCACTTTCTACAATTTATCTGTTAGAGGGTCGAACACTTGGCCCTCTATTTACATTTATCTACAGAAATGGCATCAACAGGGCATTATGAAGGCACCTTGTGTTCATTTCACCCATTAAAGGGGACTCTGACGGACCCCCTAATTAACTCTTCTAAAGGGCGTCCTGAGGGGACACTTTGTTTACATTTGATTTCATGTGATTTCTACTAAAAAGGGAACCTGAAAGTGATTTTATGATGTTTTATCTTCCACAAAGCAGATTTTTTTCTCATTATATGGTTTTCAGCTCACTAAGTAGGAGAGCCTGTTTGGATATTCACTATTATAGTTATAATTATAGACCCCCAGATGGTGCTTTATTTACATTTTTTTGACCAGAGTGTCTCTTAGGGGCACTTTTTACACTTCATTAAGGCTTCCAGAGGGTCTTTTGTTCACTGAAGGAGCCTCTAGGGGGCACTTTGTTGGAATATATCTACTTAAAAACATCTATACGACACTTTCTACAATTTATCTATTAGAGGGTCGAACACTTGGCCCTCTATTTACATTTATCTACACAAATGGCATCAACAGGGCATTATGAAGGCACCTTGTGTTCATTTCACCCATTAAAGGGGACTCTGACGGACCCCCTAATTAACTCTTCTAAAGGGCGTCCTGAGGGGACACTTTGTTTACATTTGATTTCATGTGATTTCTACTAAAAAGGGAACCTGAAAGTGATTTTATGATGTTTTATCTTCCACAAAGCAGATTTTTTTCTCATTATATGGTTTTCAGCTCACTAAGTAGGAGAGCCTGTTTGGATATTCACTATTATAGTTATAGTTATGGCAGATACACGGCAGCAGTTCTTCCCCTAAATTGAGCCTTTTCACCCATTTCCACTCATTTAGAGCCCGCTAATGGTCTTCTCTGTGTGTGTGTTTCGTGTGTGTGTGTGTTGTGTGTGTTTGCACAGATGCAGTAATCCTCCGCTCAGTTGTTCTGGCGCCGAGAGGCTGTAATGAGCCGAGGCCTTCTCACCCACTTTCTTTCTTCTGAAGGAGGTGAGCCCAAGGCCGAGGGAATCCTCACATCACACAATCCCAGCATTCCTCTGAACAACATCCTTCCCTCCGTCAGTAAAACACGACTCATTCATACATAATACCAACGATTCCAATTAGGAGCTGCCACGCTGTTAGAGCTGATCCTTCTCTCCTGCCGCCTGCTGTCAAACAGCGATGACTCGCCTCTTTCTGCCGGGCCCTGAGATGATTGTTTACTGCCTTTCTCTGCACAATTCTAATTTATGGATCTGTCACAGATATCATATTGTTTTCCATTCAGTAAGGCGCTGCAATGTAGATAAGTGGGAGCATGACAGAAATACTGTGCAGACGGCGTTCAGATGAATACGCCGCGATGGCGGGGTTGATAGCAGAAGCTGTACCCACACGGTAATGTGGCCCTGCTTTTCCTGGAGTCCATATATCTGCAGCTCGGAGGCCTAATGAGCCCAGATATCCACCTAACAGATCTGCAAACGATGAGACCGGGTCCAGCTGAGTGTGAGGGTCTCATGCTGTTCTAGTCAAATCCATAATGACTGCACAAGAGTCTGAAATAACATTATAACCACTACAGAAGCTTTTGTAACGATCATCCTGCAAAAGTCGGAATATTTGCTGATAAATGATCTAATTTTTCACAATCAAAACTTTCTTTTATTTTACAGCCAGAGTACGATGACGACCACCTTTGATCCACCCAGACTAGGGCTGGGCGATAAAACGATAACGATATAAATCAAAAAGTAATTTTCCTCGATATCGATATAAAACATGGTCAATATAGTTGTAGACAGTCGGCATTCTGACATGTTTTGGTAGATTATACGAATAGCCAATGAAAAGGGGAGTTGCTCCAGGTCGCACAGCACCAGTGTTGTTTTCGTCAGGCAGGACGAAAACTTAAATGACGACGTCAGACCCCTTTTTTCCTTGACGAAAATGAGACTAAGACGAATGTCACCAAAGCTCTGTAAAGACTAAAATGTGACGAAAATTATATTCATTTTCGTCAGACGAGAACGAGACGAGACTAAATTGTTATTAGGTGGACGAACAAAGTTTCAAAACATGCTTTTTTTTGTCCTAACAGTCACGCCCCCATCACACACGCACCAAAAGCCTCGCTCGCGCACAGCTGCGCGCACACACTCATTCACATACACAGAGCGGCAGGTGGACGAGGCGCGCACACACACACACCGTGGCGGCAGGCACAGCAGCGGTGCCCGGTGGCCGAAAAAAGAGGGATGATTTTTGGTCCTACTTCAGATACAGTTCAAGCGACAATAAAATAAAAGTGACAATAAAACACGGGACGGGGAGACGAGACAGACGACAGTTGTGGAGCCACAGCTTCCTCATGCTTCAAACTGTCGGGAAAGAACACCACGAACCTCAAAAGGCACCTTTTCGTCGACTAAAACTAGACGAAAACCTTTTGAGTTTTGGTCGGACTAAAACTAGACGAAAACTATCAAGGATAGAAATGACTAAAATGGGACTAAAACGAAGAAGCATTTCGTCAAAATGACTAAGACTAAAACTAAATCTAAAATGCCTGCCAAAAACAACACTGCACAGCACCGAACCAATCATGAGCTGAATCAGAACCAAGTATCAAACAACTGTCTTGCAGTCCAGTTTTAACACAGATTTGTGTCTAAGATTCTGCACATATTTAGGTAACATGTTTTATTTGACTGATCTAAACACGATAATAAACTGCACCTGCAGATCTCGTCTCTCCTCCGTGTGTAAACCTGGTCTGTTCTGAGCACGCTCCAGAGTTTAAACTGCCAATAAAAACCATGATGTGATTTTATTCCCATATCGCCCAGTCACTTCTACTCTAAATGCACGCCAAGCAGGACTGGATGGTGAAGGTCAAGTCAAGAGAGACTGGAAACACACGTATGTGGTGCAGGTGTAGAGGGGGGGGTAGGTAGCTGGAGCTGAAGATGACAGTCCTATTCATCATGAGCTGGATTGTCTCTGCCGTCTGTCACTGTCCCTGCGCCCGGCCCGCATCTGTCCCACTCAGCCGCTTTTATTAATTCACCCTGAACTTTATAAGGAATCGATACCTCTGAAGGAGAGGCCAGCCCCGCTGCCTCCATCTCTAATTAGCTGCATATTACAGTCTTGGTATTTAGCGGGGCACGGTTCAGTCATGTACAAACATGGGGGGAGGGGTGGATAGACACTGCAGACTCTTGCATTCTACCTACTGACCAGCAGGGGGAGACTTCACTGTCTGCCAAGAAGTCCAAACGTTATATTCTTCTAAACTCTGATACAGTAAATTCTGGTCTTATCTCACCTGAAGTGATCTAGACTACGATTCATGATTTTATGATTAGTCGGAAGTTGATCAACATTTTCAGGATGGCGACCACCAACCTTGGGCTTTGTAACCCCTCTAGGCGACCTCACCAAGACCACGCCCACAGTAGTTCATGGTGTCACCCCTTCATCCAGATCAAAGACGGTCTCTTTAGGGACCAAAAGTCCAACACTGAGGCGAACTGAACCAAACTCAGGTGGACAGACTCACACAAACACTCTCAGGGGACAGAAAACTCACATCAGGTCCTTTAAAATGAAGCTCCCTCACCTGCAGACATGATCGACTCTCGCAGCAGATCCTCGATTGTACTTCAGCAGCTCGGGTTTGATTTTGAAGTTCCCAAGGTTTTATGTAAATGGAGATGTGAAAAGTCTAATAAAATGAATAAAAGATGCTTTTCAAGTTCAGAGCAGCAGCTTTAAAACTCCGAACTTTAAAGGCTCAGTTCTCAGATCTTCGCTCACTCTCAGGTAAATCGGAGGTGCAGGTGCGCTCGCTAACAGAGCTGTTGTCATGCTGGTTTAGGTTTGGAGGAGACAAGCCCAGTGACCCACAACAATGGCGGCAGAAAACCTCCACTTCCACAGAACTGTCACACACTCTCGGACAGATTCGGACACGCCTCAGCTCCATACCATACGGCTAAATGCGCCCGCGCTCATTCACACGCCCCTCATTTGGCGAAGGCTTTGCCACAGATTAGTTTGCTGTCACAATAATGTGCCCGCTGGCATATCTAATGGCAGCGGAGGCTCGGCTGCAGATGACCTTCAGGTTGTAGCAGCAGGCTCACCTGCCCTCCTGGCAGGGGACGCCACCGCGAGATGAGAGCGAGTAACCAAGCGTGGCTTCCATCCATCATCACATTACACACGTTGGCCTGATTTAATGCGCTTTTCAGACTTGACTGGAGACACGCCGGGCCGCACAGAAACATGGGAAGCAGCTAATTAGTCTTTGCCAACAGCGGAGGTTCACCAGTCATTTACCACCTCAAGGGTGAAAACCCTCCACAGCACTAATGAGGACTTTGTCCACCACAACAGTCTCATCCGTTAAAGCATCGCCATAATGAACACCGACTCCGCCGAGCCCCTCCGTTCAGTGAGGACTCTATAGGAGCTGAAGAGAGACACGGGTCTAAAACTGATCCAGGACAGTCCTCCTGACCGCAGGGCCAACAGCTGCCGAGCGTGAGAAAGGTAACCGAGCCGAGCAGGTGCTGGACTGACGTGATGGACTCAGTGTGTGCAGGGAAATTAGCAGAGAAAGCACCAGGGGGTGGGGGGGGGGACAGGCTGCAGCATATGTCTGGAGATCTAATGGAGCCGAGGTGGGGGGGGGGGGCGCAGAGGGAGGATCTCTCTGCATGAACACGAATTAACCGAAGAGACGATGATTGTGAAAAATCCTGCAGTCAGAGATTGACAAACGGAACAGCTGTTCGCTCAGAGTCTGCGAGAATATCTGCAGCTCAGGAGAAGAAGAAGAAGAAAGCGGATGAAGAAGAAGAAGATGAAGCTGCTTCTTCTTCTTCTTCTTCTTCTTCTCATGGTGTTGTTTGAGTCGTTAACCTCCTGAACTCAGACTGGAAATGGGTCAGCCAGAGTGAACGTCGGTACTTCTGCTTTATGTGATTTTTCTTTATGAGTGTAGAAGCAAAATGAAAACAATTAGAGAAACTGTTATTTATTTACACTTATTTACTCTTATTTACTGTTATATATTTACTCTTATTTACGGTTCTTTACAGTTCTTTACTGTTATTTATTTACTGTCATTTACTCTTATTTACGGGTATTTACGGTTCTTTACTGTTATATATTTAATCTTATTTACTGTCATGTTTTCACTCTGTAGGTTTGAGAAGGTTTGAAAGACGCTCATTTAATCTGCAACACAATTACAACAGAGACACGTTTGCACGCTGTGATGTCATTTCCTGGAGTATCTTCAAATGTGTCCCGACCCAAAAATAGGCCGCAGCATTAAGAACCAGTTCCAACTTGGAACCGGGTCTCAATGCCTGTGATTCTTGGACCCGATGAGGCCCGTTAGTTTCAGTCTCACTTTTCAGTTCCTGACAGCATCTTCCTGTAAATCATTCATGATGAAAGTTGTTTTTATCCGCCGCGCACCGTTGTGCTAACGCCACATTACATCACTTGTTATGCAGCGTGTCAACCAAATTGTGAAGAGAGGATCATGAACACGAAGACAACAAGTGATCTCCAGTTTGGCTGAGCTTCACTCCGTGACTCAGCACGGCCTCGTAACACGTGGAAGAGCTAAAGATATAAAACTGGCTTTGTGCCGAAATTCAGGATGTTGATACTTTCAGACTCGTTTGATAGTAAAGAACAACAGGTCTCTCCTCGACTAGAACAGACCTGTTACTCTTAAAACTAAGAAGTCAACTAAACTCTGAGGAAAGTCAATATTCTGACTCTAATCTCTGAATCTGATCCATCATTTTAATAAAGATAAAGATACTTGAAGCTACTGAGATGTTTGACCTGGAGTAACCTGGTTGACGTGCCGCACTACTGAGTTTTACCATGAGTTATTACGATCATTGAAAGTCCGGACGCTGTTCCTCAGATTCAGCAAACCAAAAAATTTATGGCAAAGAACAAACAAAATCCATTTGCAACTGATATCCAACACTGAACAAACAAGGAAAACACACCACGACGGTCAAAAACCTTTTTACCTTCTGGGTCAAACACCCGCCCACAACAGTGACGTTGTCGTCCGGGTCGCAGAACAGAAGCCCAGACGGCCCTCACCCCAGACACTTCCTCCAGCTCCTCCTTTAGGGGGGGATTCCCAGACGCTCCCAGGCCAGGAGAGAGATATAATCCCTCCACCTGGTCCTGGGCCGACCACGAGGTCTCCTCCCGGTGACCTCCCACCTCAGCTGACTCCTCTGGACGTGGAGGAGCAGCGGTTCTCCTCTGAGTGCCTCCTGAGTGTCCGAGCTCCTTACCCTAACTCCGCCGCTTGTATCTGCGATCTTGTTCTTTCGGTCATTGCCCAAAGTTCACGACCATAGGTGAAGATCGGCACGTAGATCGACCGGTAAATCCACAATGACATGACTACCTTTATCCCTTAGCCCCCAGACAACAAGACAGCGACACCTAAGGTACACAAAGTGAACTGCAGCTCATCATATGTATCACAGCAACATGTTCGGCTCCTACAAAGATGTCTATTTTAACTCAAACTTCCTGTCACATCACGACATCTCCAACAAACGTACAACTTCACGACCCCGAGAGTAAGTTCATCAAAATTAAGAGACTCGTTTCTGAAAATGGTGAAATTTGTAACTGTGTGAAAACACCTCAAAGTGTCTCCAATCAGACATAATCACCCTCTTGATGAAGTGTTGAGATACTGTAATAACGTCCTGTTGCTCCAGACAAATATTTGTGCAGCTCATTTCAGCAAAAGTCAACAGTGAAACGAGGCTTCAGCTCGGCGGTGTCACTCTTCTGTCACTCCGACTTTACTCCCAGACTCTGCAGAGAAACGTCAGAAAAAAGGTGCAGCTGAACAAATGCACCAATCTGACTTTGAGCACCGAGCGTCTGCCAGGTGAGCCGTGCAGGTCCAGGACCCGAGCAGACGTCCGACATCACTCTGGCGACCGTTCAGCGGCGGTGAGCTGACAGGAGCTCTGTCACAAACACAGCCACCAACACCATCAGCATTTTCTCACCGTGGAAATCTGACAACACTCGGAGACGGTTCATGTCATTCCACCGGAGTGAAGACAGAAAGAAACAGCAGGATCAGGTAAAAATGAAACAGGAGATGAATTTCCACCTCGACAAATTTCCCCAGGGACCAGGAACCTTTGGAAGAGCGGAGTTTGTCAAGTTTGCAAACTCGCAGTGCTGAACACTTCTGATTGGTCGGGTTATTTGGTCACCTGCAGCTGTGAACCCGTTTCTTTTTCTTTGTTCATTTTTCTTTAGCTGACTGAAACGCTCTAGTACTGAAAAATATAGCCTATGAAGGAGAGAAACTGCAGTTCCTAAAATATCCACCTGGGGGCCGGCCTCATAAGTCAAGGAGACCCCATTAGAATCCATATTAAACTCTCATCTTTACAACAGGATCAAACCGTTTTAAAGTCCAGTCCTAAAACAGTTCTCGGTCTCTATGGCTCGATTCTTGGTAGGAACTTTTTATAACTGTGGCATTTTGATCATGTGAGAGTTCATGGGTATGCAGAGTATCTTTCTGTTAATATATGATACATGGTTTATATTACAGTAATCTGAACCGTACCACTGGAGAAAGGAGAGTGAAGTAAGACAGAGCAAGAAAAATAGTGTTTTTTTTATAAATACAGTAATAAATATAAGTAAATAGTTTAATAAAAAGGTGACTGCAAGAGGTGGAAACACTTCCAACTTAAAGATTCATCTCCGAATCAACCATCCACTCACTGCTGCGAGGACGCATTTATCCCTGAGTTCACTCAACGCCTCCTGCTGATACTGATGCAGAACCAACAAGAACTAAGTCCAACGCCACTAATACACAGCCGACAATAATGGGAGCCTTTGGGAAAACAACAAAGTCGCGTTCGTTAGAAAACCTGCACTGATGCAGAGACAAAACACTTGACGAAGGAAACGGTCTCTGTCCACACGGTAGAAAAGAAGCAGTCTGTGCAAAGACTGTTCTGGGTGGTTCTGTTAATTGTTTGACTGTTTTGAACTTTTTAAACTGTTTCTGATTAAAGTTGTTAATATTGTTCACATTATCTTGTTATTGTTTCATTATTAGTGTTCGGTATTCAGTTTCTGAACAGTGTCGGCACAAGCCAACAGTTTGGTGACGCTGTCTGAGCTTTAAGTCATAGTTTTTAATTAGCCACTGTAATAACGAATACCTTGGTAAAATGTGGAGACGGTATGACGCTATCAAAATTTGGATACCGCTCAACCCTACCGTTGGAGTCAGAGTTTCCAATATGGCCCCCTCCACTGTTCAGAAACAAATGTGTTCCTTCACTAAGACCAGGTCCTTGTTTTATTCAGGCTTCAGCTCTGACCTCATGGAGCTGAGGAGACAAACCTCTGACAGAAGGACCAGGACTGAAGTCTCTACCCCGAGGACAAACTCCCGCCTACTGCTGCTGCTGAAGTGTTTCACCAATAATGTCTGTCACTTCACGTGTTGTCAGTGCGGTTGTAAAGTCCAGGGCGTAAAAACATTGGCTGTTAAATAAGCTGTCACTCAATGATGCGTCGGCCTGATGATTTCCCTGGCAGGTGAAAATGCAAAACAATCAGCGGAGGGGACCGTCTGGGATCCTGGTGAAGTGGTTCCTGTGGGCTGACGTGTTTCCACTTACGTTTGTGATTGATGGCGATGTTCTGAGGCGACTAATCTCCTAAACAGGAGTTCAGATTCTGAATGACAAACTAGTCTGAGGGTTAGCAAACAGTCGGAGGATCTTTAATGAGCTCTGAAGTGAACAGAACTGCAGGGCTGCCAAGTTTCAGAAAACGACAAGAGTGAGACTTTAGCGTTATGACGTGTTCGGCCGCCGGCATATTTTTTTTTCCCTTTTTTTAACGTTGATTTTTACCATAAGACTGATGTCCTCGCCGCCATGCCGGCTCCTCTCCCTAACCGGCAATTTCCACCACATCCCCCTAACACCTCAGCGTTTCAGTTACCATGTTGGAAAAAAGGAAAATCAGAGGCCTGAAACAAGATGGCTACATTTACGAAAGTTATTTTAGCGCTTGACTTATATTCGGACAAGGCAAACACAAAAATAACTTTCGTGGACGTAGCCATCTTATTTCAGGCGTCTGATTTTGCTTTTTTCCGACTTTGTAACTGAAACGCTGGAAACTCAGCTTCGACATCTGACCTCTGAGGTAACTCGAACACAGCGTTAGGGTAGTTAGAGTAGATAGTTAGAGACACCAAGACCCGCCTTATGTTGCTTCTGATTGGTTTATATTGTGTGGTGCCTTCCGTGGTTGGTTAGATTGAGGCACAAAGGACTGATCGATTGGTTATCTCATCAGTCAATCAAAGTTTATTATCATGAAAAAAAAATAAATACGGCGTATTGAATGGGGAAAAATTAGCTTGAGAAATGTCAAGTGTGACGTAAGAACGGGTCAAATTGTGTGACTGTCACACTCAAAGTCAAAGCGTGACACTTGGCCGCTCTGGTACTGAGTGAGAGCGCACGTTTTTGGGTCACCAGGTCCCGTCACCGCCGAGAACCTCGTTACAATAAAAGATAATAGTCAGAGGATGAGTGTCCTCACCTTTACTGAGCGTGTTTACTACAGGAGCATTATGACCAATAAAACGCTGCCATGGAGGTCAGTAGTTCACCTGACACAGAGAGAGAGAGAGTCCCTGTGTTTGGAGTCACAACGTACAGGGTCATGAGCTGAATGTTGAAGGGTCACCGAGACCAGTGAGACGTTTCCGAGTCTGGTTCAGCAGAGGAAACATGGATGGAGGATTACTTCTGTGTGTGGATGAGGAATAATGAAGCTGCTCACTGATGATCAAACACAGAGCTGCTGTAAGCTCGACTGTACCTTTCACCCTGATCCTCTACCCACACAAACAAACGAGAGCAAACAGTCGAACAAAAGGGACGCCCTGCTTTACTGACACTACAGAGGATCTGATGCTGTCGCTACACCGCCTCGTCGCAGGAAAACTGCCTCCAATCCAAACAACACATGTGCAGGTGGGGTCACCGCCTGTGTGACCATGGACGGGTTTATGTGGCGCCTCCAGATGGGCGAATAAATCAGCGGGGAGGCAGTTCCTCTGTATCCGGGCGTCGCTCTTACTAAGATAGGTCGCCGCTGAAGCAGAGTAAGCTAACATGCCTGCCTGGTCACATAAGATTGGTTGTCTCTCCTCTAGTTCCCGTTCACCGCTCCACAGCCCGCTATCTGAAACTAATTCTGCTCGCAGAGGAAGAGGACAGTCGGTTCTGGACGGCGGCGCCTTATTAAACCAGTCCTCTGAGCTTATAACTGATGTTTTAATCTGTGCGGCTCCTGTGCTCCACTTCTTCTTCACTGGTACATTTGGGGGTTTAACAGAACGGCTCAGGGAGACACGAGAAGTACGGTCAGAAGAGACTGGGTGGCACCGCGAGTCAGACTCAGAACCATGACCAGAACCCCCCCAAACCATAACCTAGTTAGTGGTTAGTCATTTTCAGGGCTGCTAGTTTCATCTCTGCAGTTTGAGATCCACACAAACTGTGAAATTGGTTCATAACTATTTCCAACAGCAGAAATCTGACGTCTTAAAAGTGTTTTTATTCCAGCTGCCTGAAACCAAAGACGTCTACAGAGACTCAGAACCATCAGAGTCCATCAGAACTGTCGGTTCTAACAGCTGACCCGGTTAATGATCAAAAATACAGTCAGAAAACAAAGTCAGAGTTTCAACCAGTTAAACGAGAGATTAACCAGAGTTCAGTTATTACATTATTACTGAGGTGAGAGGATGATTGGTCAGAGGAATAAGTGAATGGATTAGGAAAAGATGGATGCTAGATGGATGTTTGATAAATGGATGGAAGGATGATAAATGGATGTTGGGTGGATGGATGGATGGAAAGATAAATGGATGGATGGATAAATGGAGGAATGGATGTTGGATAGACAGATGATGAATGGATGGATGTTTGAATGGCTGGATATTGGATGGATGTTGGATAAATGAATGGATGGATGGATGTTGGATAGATGGATGTTAGATAGATAAATGGATGGATGGATAGATGGATAGATAAATAGATAGATGGGTGGATGTTGGATGGAAAGATAAATGGATGAATGGATAAATGGAGGAATGGATGTTGGATAGACGGATGATGAATGGATAGATGGATGTTTGAGTGGCTGGATATTGGATGGATGAATGCATGGATGAATGGATCAATTATGGATAGATGGATGGATGGATGGATAATGGATAAATGGATAAATAGACGGATAGATGTTGGATGGATGGATGGATGGATGGATGAATGATGAATGGATAAATGGATGTTGGATGAATGAATGGATGGTTGGATTAATTAATGATGTCATTCTTCATTTCAGGGTCTAATGATTGACAGGTGGGCGGCCCTCTCCTGGATAAATAGATGGATGGATGGATAGATGGTTGGATGGATGGATGAATGAATGAATGAATGGAAAGATAGATGGATAGATGGTTGGATGGATGGATGAGGTCTACATGGGGCCCTTTAAACACCGACCCCCTCCTTTATCCGGACCCTCCCCTCGTTCAGCTCCGTTCTGGATTTCCTTCATTATCATAATTATCGAGTGTTTCTGTTAATCAATAAAAACGTCCTTGTAATGCAGGAAGTGTCACTTTAACTAAACCTGGACAGGTTAATGCATGAACCCCCCCTCATGTAGAGACCCTCACCCTGATCATGACATTGGTTTATTGACGGACTCAGAGGAGCGTGACGTGGACCGATCAATCGTTTCTGTAACCGAACCTTCGACTGACTGAAATTCTATCGTATGAATACATGAAGCAGGACAGTAAGAAAAGCCCCCGGGACAACGCAGACCACTCTACCCCCTAAAAAAAAGTCTGCAGATAGTGGTCCAGTATCTATGAGATACCAAACAGGAGAGGGCCGCCCACCTGTCAATCATCAGACCCTAAAAGTGAAGAGCGACATCATTAATTAGCCCTGACCCCGTTAATGACAGCTAATGGGACCTTTAATTCATCACTTCATGTCAAAGCCTCACTCTCTCACACTCTGCGCCGCTCCTCATGTAAATGTGGACTCATAAATGGACTCAGACACCGCTCTGTCCATTTGGAGCCGAATCACATCAATGAAAGTGACAGGGCGGACATACTGATCAATCATCCCACCATCTTATCACCTTTCAGCAGACCAAAGCTCCGAACTGACAGCCACTCCTTTATCCCGCTAATCCGGATCACTTCAGCGCAGCAGAGCCTGTGAAAGCAGCGCCGATAAATTAGTTTACTCCTACTCTGATTGGATTAAAAGGCAGGAGTGGGCCTCGACCCCCCGGCCTCCAACACCACAGACACACACTGCTCGGCTTTAATGAACACGTCGGCTTAAATGGAAATAAGAAAGTAGACAGGACTAGTAAAGACAGTAGAAACCAGCCAGGAAGTTCGGAAAATCGTCTGAATCCTCCTTTGGCCACGACTGCCGACACAAGCAAGAAAACACTCAAACATAAACAGTCAGCAAGAAAACAGTCAACACCAAACCGGTTAACAAGAAAATGGTCAACACCAAAACAGTCAACATAAAACAGTCAGCAAGAAAACAGTTAACCATAATCAGTCAACAAGAAAACAGTCAACAAGAAAACAGTCAGCAAAAAACAGTCAACAAGAAAACAGTCAACAAGAAAACAGTCAGCAAGAAAACAGTCAACCATAATCAGTCAGCAAGAAAACAGTCAACCATAATCAGTCAACAAGAAAACAGTCAACCATAAACAGTCAACACCAAAACAGTCAACAAGAAAACAGGCAACAAGAAAATTGTCAACAAGAAAATGCTGCTCCCCCGTGTCGTTCAGGAGCCCAAACAAAGTTAGCGTGCTACAATATCGGACAGTAGAAACCAACCAGAAAGTTCGGAAAATTGTCTGAATCCTCCTTTGGCCACGACTGCCGACACAAGCAAGAAAACAAAGTAAATACCGGAGACTCTGGAGGAATAACGGGCGCTTAAAACAGAGGTAGACCGGACAAGAGCTAAAAAGCCGGGTCAACATAAACGATGGGGGACGCTTGGGGATCTTGGTGACCCTGTAACCTTTCTGCTGGACAGGTAAACCGCTTTAACAAAGTAAGACAAGTGTCTGTAACAGAAGTGTTTCTTGTCAAACGGACCTGCTGTAGCGTGTTGTAGCGCCATCACTAAACTGTCCTCCCTCGGGTCCTGGACTATGTCACTTTATCCTCGTTGTAGAAGTCCTGCAAACATTGTGTTTGCTGGTAGTCTGTTGGCATCTACAGTAGCACCAATGCTTTTGACTTTCACCTTGACTGGGCCCCATTTGTAATGATCTGAAGTATTTATCTGCATTATATCGGAATTTAATTGGAACGATACGAGCGAGCAGGAGCGTCTGAAAACTGGTTTGGAGGGGTAGAGTTTACATTCAAGATTTCTCCTTAAAAACTGGAACTAACTCAGATCCTGACGACACCACCTTTAACGTGATCTTACTACCTCTGAGAGTTCGAACCCTTTACAAGAACTCTTTGTTCCGCATGATCCAATTTACCCGCTTCGCATCGACATGACAGCTGACTCTGTAGTCATCTGCTGCAGGTAACATGTGAGGAGTCTCCGAGCTCCCAGTCTGCTCTGAGTCTCAGAGGACTTCATCCATTAGAAAGCTGGTAGTCATCTCACGTTTTGTATTTTCAGGAACATTCACCTCTTGAATGAAGACCCGTCTCTAAACCCCCGACCACATTTGACAACATCACAGTCTGCAGGAGAGACGGATATTTCTGCTTTAACGGGGAAGCAATAGCAGATTCTGACCCGTGCAAAAGTCGTGTTTTATTAACTGCAACTGGAGAAGAGTTGGCAGTGACGGACTACATCTATTAGCTGCATTTATCTGCAGATTTATATTTGGAGGCTTTACAAGAACACTAATTGGATGGATGGATTTTCTCCCTCTCCTTTAGCAAAAATAACCTGTCCGTGTCTGAGGTGTTAATTGAATATCTCTGTCCTCACAAAAACACAGAAATGGAGAAAATCTGCCAAATAAATCTGCCAAACTGGTGGGCAGGCAGGCAGGTGGTGTTAATTTGTTATCAGACGGTATAGAAGGACGTTCAGTGAAGACATATCAGACGACTTCTTCTAAGTGACGACTGTAAATGGTTTTTATTTAGACTCAGTTCATTAAATTAAACATGATGTAGACTTCCTTCAGGTCTAAACCACATCAAACCTCCTCCTTCACACGACTAAAGCGTCATCTATGGACTTAGATCAAACCTGACCCACCTTTACAGAGGCACCATCAGCTTCTACATGTGTATGTCTATTTTAAACCTGTCTTCTGTATTTTGTATAATGTCTCTGATCAATCCAACAAACTGAATCGTGTAAAGTTGGTTCTCAACTACAGGAGCTGCTGCATATGTTTTTTTTTACCCTTTTGGACGACTCTTCCTTCCTCGTGAACCGCAGAAGAAGAGGGTGAAGTTGTGCAAAAATCCTCCTCTCTGCTTTCGTAACATCGTCTGATGAAAGACAAATGAGTTTAAGAAAGTGAAGCGAAGAAATAACCGTTTATAAAAGATCTTCGTGTACAGATGGTGGAGTCATTGACAAAAACTGATCATGAGACTGAGTGCAGCTACAAGCATTAAAGGGATATTCCGGCGTAAAATTAAACTTTAGTAACGACCGCAGGATAGTAATACACAGCAGTCTGAGCTCAACCAAAACGCCACTCTATAGCCACAAATAATGCTCAGAACAGCACCAAACTTCATCAACATCAACATTACGGACTACAGCGGGGTGCCGCAGCTCAAGGAAGAACATTTATGAGTAATAATCACCATATTAACACAGTAGTTCTTCTGTCTTAGCGTCTCGGTCTGATTGTATTTCCATGAAGAAATGATCATAAATGTTCTTCCTTGAGCTGCGGCACCCCGCTGTAGTCTGTAATGGACTGGCCTGAGGTCTCACTACAAACAAGCGGCTGCTGGAAGAGAGTAGGTGAGTTGTGTTTAGTCTCTTTGCTAAAGAAATGAGTCAAAGTTAAAAAGATGTTTGGTGTCTAGTACTATGTCTGTTGATGAAATTATCGTATTTTTCGCACTATAAGGCGCACCAGATTATCCCTTCAAAGTTCTGATCCAAAACGGCCTGTACGTCTGCAGAATCAGCTCAACAGTCAGTGCTTTGGTTGAGGATAGTAGTTGACCCAAAAATATATCACCTGGTTTCTTAATTTCTGTACGAATCACCAAAACATCAGCACTCTCCTATTAGACACGTTTATAGATCCACAGACTGATAGAAGCTGGAGTATTTTCTGCACCTGACAAAACTCCAATCTAGGTTTCTGAATCTATGTCACACTCTTCTCACACTCTCTGTGCCGATGAGTGAGCGTCCCTCTGCAGCTTCATCGAGGAAAGTGGAGAAACAGACTTCCCACACTGCAGTGAAGGACTCACAAATGAAATCAGGAGCTGGGCTGTCACTCGCTGACAGGCCCCGCGTTGGGAGCTGCAGCATCAGCAGCAGCAACAGCGGCGGCGGCGGCGACGCTTCGATGGATGAAGACACAATATGACAGGCAAACAAAACTCCAACCTGAGGAGGGTCACCGAAAATGAGAACTTATTAAGAGCGACTGCAAAGATACAGAGAGAGGCGAGTGACTCGGTAAAATCACTTAAGGTTTAAATAGAGCCTCTTATTCCAGAGGGGAGAGGGAAAGATCACCTCTCCACAGGGGGAAATGTGCTCCATTGTAATAGTTCACAGTGGGCGACGGCACCAGAGGCCGGCGTGGACCCAGAGAGTCAATTCTGACAGCTACTTAACCTCCAGGCCGGGCTGCTTCACGGGGAGAAAGGCCTCATTTCATTTCACAGAGCGCGTGGCAGAGTTTGTTTGTAAGAGAGGAAGAAAAACAGAAGAAAGAGAAACAGAAGACAGCTGGAGAGAGAGAGAGAGAGAGAAAAAAACACTCAGAAAACATCACAGCGGCGTTTCTGGCTACACTGAGGGGGCTGTTCTCTCCTGGGCCGCAATGACTTCCTCATTCTTTCGTATTCAAGTCCATCCTGTGCCTCACCTCCCTCCTCCTCCTCCTCCTCCTCCTCCTGCTGCTGCTGCTGTAAACCTTAGAGTTTCAGCACAGCAGCAGGAACAAGACGTACAACTATCACAATGTGGTGACACTTCTCTGAACACATCACCTTCCTGTTATTCTATCTGGGCTCTGCGTCGACGAGAAGAAAAAACTGAGGATCTCCCAGCTGAATGGGGAAACACCCGCAAGGGAGGAGGGGAGAAACGGCAGCGAGGCGGGCAGGAAGGCCGGAGAGTCTGACATCATCTAAGTGTCTCTGTGAAGTCTCATATATGTGTGTGTGTGTGTGTGCATGAATAAACAGTGAGTGTACCTCCCCATCACACAAGCACAACTGTAGTTTTCCTCTCCAGCTCCAGCTCAGCCATTCATTATTAGGAGTTTGTGCTGCTGCAGCACACAGCTGCTGCTGCTGCTGCTGCTGCTTCATGTAGGAGAACACAGAGATAATATGAGAGGAACCATAAGTCATGTTCTGACAGCCAGACCTTCCTCAGGCTGCAGCAGATCTTTTACACCAAACATCCTCATTGCAACAGAGCATAAAAAATCAGACACCCATCCCAGGCCGACGGCGAGCAAACCGACCAATCCGGCGGAACTGCAGGACTGAGGGCTGAGGCTACACCTTCACAGGGTGGAAAACCATCAAGCTGCAAAGTTGAAGGGCATTAGAGGAAAGACGAGAGAGAAATATGGGGCATTTATGAAAGCGGGGCAGAGAGTCTGAAGGCTGGGCTGTTGATGGGCTTCGGCATGCGCTCCAAAAAAAACCTGCAATGCCTCCGTGGAGCTCTCCCACCGTCCCACCGTGGATTAAAATAACCACGCAGGCAGGCAGGCAGGCAGGCAGGAACACGGGCTGGGACTCAACCATGACTCATGTCGCCCCGTGAAGAAGAAGAAAAGACCTGACCGGGAAATCTTGAGGCTAGTTAGCTTTACTTCCTTAGCCAGAAGCAGCAGCAGCAGCAGCCAACAGTCGCCGCCGCCGCTCTCTCCCCGGTCCCGGTCCCACACACACACACACTCCTCTCCGCACCGGAGCTCCGGAGCGCACAGCCGTCCTGGGACTTACCGGTCTTATGTGCTGATGGTGCCGCTGTGAAGAGACAACAAGTGCGGGGAGGCTGCCGCCGGCCACCGCTCCGCTGCTCCGGGACAACAGGAGGACTGATCTGCACACTTTCGCAGCCATCTCTGTAGTGAAAGCTCGCCTGGAAGGAGACTGTGCTGCGGGCGGGCGGACCGAGACGCACCGAGGGAAGGGAAGAGGGAGGGTGGTGGGCGGGTTGCGGGGCTGGACTATACGGCTTCAGTACACATGCCCAGTGTTGCACCAGTATATGCAAAGATAAACCACTTTTTCTGCTGGCTAATTCAAAACAAGCACACACTGCATGCAATTTGTCGCAACACCAATCACTCAGTCACTGCAGGCAGGGGCGTCACCGAGAAATATGGGGCCCACCGTTACAGCCCAGCCCGACCCTGCACAATTATGAGAATAGACCTCCATGAGACAAAAGACTCATGAAAAACCATGTAACAGCCTTAACTGTATGTCCTGTAGAAAAACTGGGCCAAACACGAGTGAATGAGCCTCTTTGGACGGTTAAATTTTGCACATTTTAACGTCTTTTTAAAGGCATCTAACAAAATAATCTAAAAGCGAAGTGATTGTGGTGCTACTAACATTCATACTAATTAAAAAATTATTTAACAATTATACGATAAACTAATTTTTCCTCTGTTTTACTGGATTATCAGGATAAACTTCTTAAAATGATGAGATAATTAGGTAACAATTCACAATAGGTACATAATCACCATAACTTATAAATGGCAAATAGACCATTAATTAATTGTAAATGTAACAATTTGAAAAACCTAACCCTAACTTTACAATAATGTTTACAGGTGGTTTAAAAACCAAATATTTATCATTTACAAACTGACACACAATTTATTCTAGATGTTTTACAACCAATATTTTAACCCTATAAAAACCTTTAATAAATAGTCCACCAATAATTAATTGATTTCATTGTTTTTTAATGGTAAAGTAATTATTAACTTACATTAATAAACTATCTATTTGCCATTTATAAATTATGGTTATTGTAAAGTGTTACTGATAACAATATCATAAATTAAACATTGATCTGTCTTCTCTTTATACAGAATTTTAAAAATTAATAAAAAATCTCTTAAATTCAGAGTTAATTGTCTCCATCATTAAGTTATTGCAAAACAAATTCATACATACTACTTGAAATATTCTCAATACTTTTTCCATAACAAAAATATACGTGTACTAATTAGTAAAGCTATTTCTGTATTTACACTAATTAAACTAATTTTGTTCAATGTAACTGAAAAAGTCTGAGAGTTTCAATGACCTCCACTGAGGGTCTGAGTGTAACAGCATTTTTAAGTATTTGTAACATTGAGCAAATATGTTGTATTAACCCTCTGTGATGTAAATAAAAGCACTTTAGAGGTGAGTGAATGTAGTATGCATCATCCAATACTGTTATTACATGCAAAGGTTCTTTTGGATGTCAAATATAACATGATTTCTAAATAAGTGTTTACAGTTTTGCATGAAAAACAAACGTTTTTTAATGGTAACTAACTTATAAAAGATTAAATGACATAGAGGTTATAATACATGAAAAAAGAGAAGAAAAACAGTCTTTTATTTCTTAACAATGTATAATTATTAAAGCGGCTGTAAGGAACTTTCAGTTTGTGTTAACTTTGGCGCCCCCTGTGGACAACACAGTTTAAAAAGTCATGTCTGTCAACTAAAAGTTTCATCCTGCTGACTTTTAACTGTCAAATGTGATTTATTTCGAATATTTTTATACAAAAGTTGTAAAATCAGGTTGTTTCCTCAGCTGACACTGAAACTAGGATATTAAAGCTGTTTGTCGGAGTTGAATGATGTTATGATTTTCAACTGTAATTAAAGTTTTCACACACTGGCAGCGTTAAAGTTTAAGTGTACGGTCATTCAGACCTCACATAACAGAGGAAAATGCAGCACAAACAGAGAGACAAAGGAAAACTTTGATTGAGATTTTTATAGCTGCAGCGATCTCCTGTATTGAAGGTCACACACCTGTGATTATCAGGTCATAAAGGTATTACAGGTGTGTGCAGAGGTTACAGCACACATAAGGTTTGATCACAGGAGAGCGGCGTTTCTGATTGAACTCGACACGACGTTAAAACAGAGACAGAAAACTCCAAACTTAAAACAGAGCTTCTTATCTGCTCCATCTCCATTACAACCTCTATTAATATAATCTCAGCGGGAGAGTGAGAGATATGTGGTGAACCACACAGGTATATTACACAAGATAGAGACACAGGAGGAGATTAAAAATCAGGCCGAGCTTAAAGAGTGAAACCACATACACACAGGAGGAGAAACAGAAAGAAAGCAGCATTTAGTATTTGGAGACAATTTTAATGATTTCTGCTAAAGGCTCGTTTCTTCTCTCCTCATGCTAAAACGGGTCTGTAAATTATCTATGTTTAAATAATCTAACCGTCACAGGACTGAGATCATCTTTAGTGACCAATCAAATTAATCTGACTTTCATATTGGTGAGACGTCATGCAACAGTGTTCAGTAAGTTTAGCTGGTTAATTGTTAACTTCTGTTTATGATGTTAACCTTCAGTTTTGATTAAACATTTGCTAAAGTGAAGTTTTGTGTTTGTAATATTTACATTTTGTCATTTTTTTAAAGTCGGCGCATATTAGAGAAAGTTATCGGTTCCATGGATTACTAATAATCCGTAACAGGATCTGTTATTGTTACAGCCCTCGTACCTCCATGACTACTTTACTCTGGGATAGCCATCGAACAGTATATCTATTTACCTGCATAAACTAACTAATAAACACAATTTCTTTACATGTCATCATCCATTTCTAATGATGATCAGATTCATGATTTATCCACATCACCTGCTCTTCAATTTTTATGCTTTTATTTTGATACTTTTCTGTCATGCGTTGAGGTTGCTTAATTTCTTGCATGGCTAAACTGAGCTTTTATTTTGAAATGTAAGTACAAATGCTAAACTGATTAGTAATCTGACAGGTACACGCTCAAATGTTGTTTTATATAATACAGTTTTTAAAGGTGGTTAATCAGCTGCTACAGCTAACTCACTTGCAGCTGCTGCTTCCTACCAGAAATCCTAATATGCACTCGTGTCCTTACTTGTCTGTCTCTGTACGTATATATCTGGTTGCATAATCATTATAGGAGACCTTGGCACCCATTGAACTTGCATTTAAAAGATTTCCAGCCATCATGAAGAGGACAGACCCAGTCTGACTGATCTGAGCGTATCTGTAATGTGCTACATCTTGGCAGACTCTCTGTCAGTATCCACGCCATCCCTTCCTCTAAAACTGGGTCTAATATTAGCTCGTCCTCCATTCACTCTTGTCACGATGTCCCAACAGGATCAAATCTAATTGAAGTGATCTTCAGTGACTTTTAAATGGCAGGGGCTGCTTCCTGAAGTTCAGGCCTTTCTCATTTTCTGTCCCCAAACGGCCGAGCAGGAGGGCGTTTGGTCAAGTATGAGGTGATTTGTTTCCTCTCGGATCAGTCAACCACCACAAATGCAGGTAATGGGAGTGCTAATGGGTCTGTTTGGTCAATGAGTGTCAAGGAGACACCCTTCAGGGGAATGCACAGTAACATGTTTTTCTTAATCTTTGACCGAGCTGCTGGAGTAACGCCGCCTGCCACGCCTCTGTTGGTCAAAGTAAAAACCAGATAAAGACTTAAACCTGCGCTGAAACTCGCTGAAGTAGTTCATGAAAGAAAGTTTGCTTCAGATCAAACTTCAGAGAGTGATGAATGAGAAATAAGACCTGAAGTAAAGGGAGCTCTGGTCCTTTTGCTGCTGTTTTACTCACTCATCTGTGTTTGTTTGTGAAATATCGTAGTGATCTGTCATCGTCGGACCACTCATCCCACTTCCTTCTCTTCTTCTGCAGGTGCCGAGCATCAGGCTGTGTAGGCGATGCAATTTAAATGCAAATTCTCAGCCATGAACACGGACCTGCTCGAGGCCTCCAGGCTGCATTGATTCACAAAGAGAATCTCTGTGGCGGACCAAATACTACCGAGCTGTGTTTTTTACAGTGCAGCTGTGAGTGTGCATTAGCCGTGTGTGTGTTTGCTCATGGTGTGTAAGCAGTGTAAACAAAAGAAGCAGCAGTGAGGTTAGGAAAGCTTGTTGCTCATGTAGTTGTGTGAGATTTTGTTTGTGCTTTGGATTGTGTTTACGGTGTTGAAATCAGAGGAATCAGCTTGTAAAAAAAACAGGCTGTTTAAAGTGGTCAACAAAACCTGGTCAGATTTATAGCTCTGAGCGGTGGAGCAGCGGGACTGTTTGAAGGGAGGGGTAAAAAAAGAGTAATGGTACCGGCTGTACGCTCTGGGGTATTCCAGCACAGGCACTGTGGCCCACAAATATCTACAGAACCTCCCACAGCATTTTAGACCCAGTTTTAGATACCCTGCAGATTCTGTACCACTGTGTATGACCATCAAGAGGGATCTTTGTTTACACTGTATAAGGACATCCACAGGGAACTTTGTTTACATATTATAAGAGCAACATGAAGACACTTTAGTTACATTTCATTAGAGCATCTAAACTTAGGTAACAATTGTAAGGGTATCTACAGAGAACTTTGTGTATATGTTATAAAGGAATCCACAGGGTACTCTGTTTACATTTCACAGGAACATCCAGAAGTATATTTTGTTTACCTTTTACAAAAACATCCAGATGGATCTTTGTTTACCCTTTTAAGGACATCCACAGGGTACTTTGTTTACACATTATTAGAGCAACATGAAGACACTTTATTTACATTTTATAATACGACCCAAATGGCACTCAGTTAACAATTTAAAGGGCATCTACAAGGTACTTCGTTTACATATTATAAGTGAATCCAGAGGGTGCTTTGTTTACATTTCACAAGAGTATCCAGAAGAACACTTTGTTTACCTTTAACAGAAGCATCAAGAGGGATCTTTCTTTACATTTTATATCCTAGAAGGGTATCCAAAGTGCACCTATATTTTCGTATAGTAAGAGAATACAGAGGGCACTTTGTTTAGATTTCATAAGAGCATCCAAACGGCATTTAGTTAACAATTATAAGGGAATCCACTGGGTGCTCTGTTTATATTTCACAAGAGTATCCAGAGGTACACTTTGTTTACCTTTTACAACACCATCTAGAAGGTACTACCAAAGGGGCATTCAGAGGGGACTCCATTTACATTTCATATCCTGGTTGGGCATCCAAAGTGCACCTTTGTTTTTGTATAACAAGAGAATACAGAGGGCACTTTGTTTACATTTAATAAGAGCATTCAGAGGGCAGAAGAACCTCTAAAGTGTGGTATCAAGAAGGTACTAAGTTCACATTTCATCCACTGGTTGGGCTTCCCATCATCTAAATAAATAGCATTCAGAGGGGACTATT